ACGGGATGTTCTCAACCAACATGTGTTTTTATGTGTGTCTCCCACCTCGCAGGGCTTCTCTAATGGCCAGTCGGCGCTGCAGACCTCTGATGCATACAAAGACTCCTCTTCAATTATCATGAACCTTGACACAGAAAAGATGCTGCGCAGCATTGTTTTGTCACATATGCGTTAACCCAGAAAAAGAAAGATGAAAGAGGACACAAGGCTCTATTGCTGCTGATTCAATTCTTAGAACATAAAGAAATATGTCAGGAAAAATGCCTGAAAGAGAATAAAAACATGATTCAGGCATAAAACATTAGATAAAGGTGTTTGTTTCTCAATGTTAATTATCTCCATTTAGAATAAAGTGTACAGACAGGTGGAGCCTTTTAACTCATAACTACTAATGCTTCATCAAACAGAGAGAACACCTTCTATTGCAGCGAGGTGTAATGAAACCAGTTGCCACTGGCTAGCTGCTGTTGTTCTTGCCCCCACCACACCTCTCATTATCCAGGACATGATGTTCCAGAGCCAAAGGACAATATCAGAGGACCTCTAGCCAAAACTTAGGAGGTGGTGGTTTGAGTACACACTGGTGTGAGTGACCTGCATGTGCACTCTGGTTCTGTCTAAAGTCACAAAGCCACTGAATGAAAAGGATGGATTAAGAGAAAAGATAAGAAATTAGTGGTCTGGTGTTACTGGGCTTTTGTGAGTTTTCTGGTCTGTGCTTCTTGTTGACATCCATGAAAAGAAAATTCTGTAATCATAATAATAATACAAGAAGAAGAAAAATATGAGCGCAAGTTAAGAATAATAATAAATTATAATACACAGAAAACTTCTGGACTTAATATCACCAATTTTAAGCAAATGCATAAATTTGACACTGACAAAAGCAGACAAGGCAATATCAAGCTGTGTCCCTAGTGGTGTGTGTGCGTTGGAGTTACGACTTAAGGCCAAAATCCAGAAATAATACAAACCCAACTTGTATACACGCAAGGCTAAAACCTGCCAAAGAAGATCACTGGTAAAGCAGTGCTTGTAAGTTCTGGCCTTTCATTTTAAAATAATTCACATAACTACAGTCTCTCCACAGGGGAGGAATCCATCCAAAAGTCACCTGTCAGAACACTCTTTCGTCCAAGCCATTATGTATGTGTCAAGCTGTTCCTTGTGCGAGACGGATGATGGAGCAGTCTGCAGCAGAATCAGACCTCAGTCTTACATCTATGTCAGGTAATGTTACTCTAACTGCTCATCCATTCCCCCCCTAAAAAGAAATATTGATCAGGCCATCAAAGTCACCCTAATTTAAACCCTAAAACCCTCGTGTAACGTTAGTTCATGGAAGAAACAGTTTTGGCTTTTAAATGTAGACGTTAGCATGTGGTGTAATAATCGTGTAATCGTGCAAATAAATAAGAACAAACTGTACTCTACTATTCTGATCGATACATACCAATTTAATGGAATCAACAGCCTATTGACCTCGCCATGACTCTAGGGCAAACAAAGTGTGCAGATCCTGTGTCTGTTCAGACTTCATCATACCCTCCACTGGAGTGCAGAGCCCTTAAATTGCCCACTTAGCTCTGCTGTAAAGATCAAATGACTTTACAGCATGGTGCAGCGTTTCTGGGTCAGCCTCTATTAACTGCTTATAGTACATCTGTGTTTATTGATGCCACACTAGAAGCACACACAAGAGATTTTACACTTAACCTGCAGCACTCCCATATTAGTAATTATCAGGAGCTGTTTGTTTTGCACTCTAAGTCCCTACATAGAGTGCAAACTTTAAAACTCCAAGTATGGACTCATGCCCTTTTCACCTGAGTACACATTGGCGACACTAGAGCAACAAAGTTTGACAGGACTAAATGTTCTCCTTGCCACATGAAATGAAACATGGCAAGACTGTTTGACTGATGGGCCGGGCTGCCGCTCAAATCAACACACCCTGCTGAATAAACAACACACAAAGAAACAATTCACACTTCCATAAAATTAACCTACTCACACACTCATCCAGCTCCTGCATGCTATTATCAGCACCCCATTAACTCTCCTGTTGCTCCTGAACTGGCTTATCAAACAGTTGTGTAACTTAAGTAAATGTCATTAGGTACCATCCTCTGAAACTGAATCCTTCATTTTTCACTGGTGAGCAGTGCCTTATTAAAGATAAGAGAATAAGTGCCTCTCTCCTCTGTGTCCCAATGAAAAACCTTATGCTCTGAGTACACCTTGTTCTTCCCATCATCACAGACACCACTGAGCCACTGTGGGTTTACCAGCAGCTCAATACTGCACCCCTATACATTTCTATAAATAAAACTGTGAAAGAAAGTAATTGAAGGTGCCATATGTAAGGTTGCCTGTAAGAACAACCTGTGGACTGATTTCTACATAGGAATGTGGGTGGATTTACTTGGAAAATCCAATGGATGTGATGTTTATGCACTTTACCAAGTGCCTTGTCTCTCTGCTTTTCTACAGTGTGCAACACTAGCTAACGTAAGTCCAAAAACACCGGCACAGCTTAATTAAGTTTTACTAAGCAAATGCCCTTTTTTGGACTGCCCCACATTTACTTTGTCATTTAATTTAAAGCTATAATAAATATTTCAAAAGACTATGTGTAGTAAAAAGGGGTCACTTGTAGTAAATAATACACAGATAATTATCATCCAACTGCAGTTCCCCCAGCATTTTAGTGTCTTTGAGCTCACAGTTTTTGCGGCTTTAATGTTTTAGTTGAGTCTCTTAGCTCTCATTAACGTTATTTTCAGCCACAGCAAGCAGCTGATTACTGAAAAAAACAAGTACAAAATTGACTGTACTACTGTGTAGCACCAAATGACAGTCCATTGTGTTCATAGATTGTTCTGCTAGCCCAAAGTAGCCAAACATATCAACTGTAGCTGCTTTAAAAATAATGTTATTTTCCACCAGCCTCACATTTTTTAAGATGTTTTCACATTATTCTTGTAAAATGTCCTGACCTGTGAGGAAGATATACCGATACGAATGAACGGTTTGAGAGAAATGAAACATATAGGCTCTCATGCAGGTGCCGTCTTGCTCCTGTGTTTAATGAAGTGAAGAACCTGAGAGATAGAGTTGAATTGCTTAGGGGCGTTGAGATTTAGTTTCAGACCAGTTTTGTCTCCAGAGAAAGGAGAAAGCAGAAGTCAAAAGGTCCCTCACCGAGAAAATTGCAGCACGTATAGGACTGTGATTCAGACATTCAGACAAAGAGAAACACGCTCTGCTGCGAAAGAAAAGGTTTGTGCTCTCAGCAGAAAATAAAATTGACACACATCTGTAATAGAATAATGAACCATAGTACAAACACGTGTGATCAGTTTAAATATACAATCTTGGCAGGCACAGTTTCAATCTAAGTCGAACACGCCAAGAGAGTGTAGAAATCAACATGTTCTTCAAATAGTGTACCCAAGGTATAATAATAATCAATTTTTCTAAATCACATACTGAAGGTGCTTGGCCAATGAAGTATGCTGACATGAAATGTGCTTTTAATTTGCCTAATTAGCCATTATGGTCCATAACTGGTCATTACCACTGTGAACAGCTGGACTCAGTAATGAATGACACTAATAAGGTTCACATTTCTAGTTATAAGTCCCTTTCAGATCAGGTAATGGATTCTGTCGTATCATAGCAACAAGTGACAAAGTCGATGCACAGAGAGTATGTGTGAGATCTGAGTATGATAATGATAACAGTAATATTATGTGATATTTCTACTTTTTCAAAATTTAATGTAAACCATGAAGCTTCCCACACAGTTTGACATTTGAATTCCAGCAGCACTGAGCTGACAGTGATATTGAACATGCTCTTTTGTTTAAGTCTAACCCGTTGTAATGAAAACAATTGTGTCAAACGTGTTCGGAAACACCCTTGCAAAGAGTGCAGGAACAGAACATCTGTCCCCGCCTCCTCCGCCTCTGACATGTGAGCAGAGTTTCAGACAATGACTATGAGAGGTCTCCCCCTGTGATCATACTCACAAGGACAATTAAAATCATGCTGGAGAGATGTCCACTTAAACTACAGCTATTCTGAAATTAAAAAAGACCTAAGATCAGCTTGCAAGTAACATATTTCGTTAGTAATTAAATGACAAATGTATCAAATAAGAGGGTATATACGATCATGCTTTAAAGTGAGATATTATGATTATGATATTATATATTCACCAAAACAGTTTTGCAGCAAGGATCAAATTGCCTTTTATTCTAGACATCAACAGAAGATTATTGGCATATTATTCTTGTCTAGGTAGTCCACTGAGGACTGCTCGAAATGTATGACCTTTTACTGATGACGTAGTAGTTTTTATTTATGTCATTCAAACTGAAAAAAAAATAAAAAATACAATAAGTAAATCTAAATTTCACCCAAATTGCCATTTCCTGAATTTGAGCCTAAAAATAGCTGCAAAAGTGACTGGAAAATCTAATGAACAGATTTCCGTTCACTTGACAACCTCACCAAATAGTAGCTCTTCTGGAGCTTTCGATCATATCACCAGATCTTCATCAGGTCAGCAGATAGATAAGACTAAATGGACTTTTAACTGCTGTCAAGAACATTATGAGCTAATTGTATTTTTTTTATTTAATTCTAGTTTAACTATACTGTAACTTACAATGGTGATTAATCCATGGATAATTGATTTATTACACAGTCAGCATTGAACACACACTGTAATGCCTTAAAAAGTTGATCCTGTTTGCAGCAGCAGTCAGAAACTCGCCACAACTCTATGCTGGAAATGTTTTGGGTTTTTTACATTGCATACAAAGAAGGTCAAGTAAAATCACACATGTCACCTGTTTTTTTCCCTCTCTTACTCTACTTGATTTGCATGAGGGTATGTGATTGGCTGCTGTAAGGTACAGAGAGATACTGCCCTCTCCTGACTGGCTGGGAGCAGAGGGGGGCAGGTACTGTGTGTGAACATAAATACAGAGCGCAGCCAGAGAGGGACATCTGCTCTCATCATCCACTCCAACACAACTACATCCAGCTCCATCACTGACATCTTAACCAGTTGTCAGACAAAGGAACGGAGAAGTGAATTAAGAACAGAATAGACATTCTCTGAAGCAGTGTTTTGGAGAAAAAGAGCAACAGAAAGCCACCATGTCTTTTGAAGTAAAGGAGAAGACGGAGGTGCGTCTGGTGTTTTTGGGAGCAGCTGGAGTGGGGAAGACAGCCCTCATCCAACGCTTCCTCAAAGACACTTTCGAACCCAAGCACCGGCGCACGGTGGAGGAGCTCCACAGGAAGGAGTACGAGGTGGGGGGCGTCAAAGTCACCATCAACATCATGGACACCAGTGGCAGCTACTCCTTCCCTGCCATGCGCAAGCTCTCCATCCAGAACAGCGACGCCTTTGCCCTGGTCTACGCCGTGGACGACCCTGAATCCCTGGAGGCGGTCAAGAGTCTGCGAGAGGAGATCCTGGAAGTCAAAGAGGACAAGTACACGCCCATCGTGGTGATAGGCAACAAGATAGACCGCCACAATGAGCGCCGGGTGTCCAGTGAGGATGCACTGTCTACAGTGGAGATGGACTGGCACCACAGCTTCCTGGAGTCCTCCGCCAAAGACAACGTCAACGTGCTGGAGGCTTTCAGGGAGCTACTCCAGCAGGCCAACCTGCCCAGCTGGCTGAGTCCGGCGCTGTGCCGGAGACGAGAAACCTTCCCGAAGGAGAGCAAGAAACGACCTCCTATGAACAAGACCAACAGCTGCCTCATCTCGTAATGATGTGGAGCTGCTCAGAGGGCAACTAAACTAGAAGAGACTGAGAGAAAACTGCCCATTAGAGACTGAAAGGGCTTTGTTGGTGGGTTGGGGCTTGGGGATAGAACAAGAGACAGTGTTAAATGTGTAATGTAATGTGTTAGGTCTCCTCATCAGGCGTAAAAGTGTTGCACAAAAGCACAGGATGCTACAGTGACATGCAAGGATGAAAACAGACACCACCTTACAGACATGAAAGAATGTGGCTGAACAACTGAATGATGGAAAAAAAGAACACGCAGGCACCACTTACTGTCAAAAAAGATTCCCTTATACATTGTGACAGTGTAGGGGCAGAATTATGTATCGGGAGCTCAGTTTACACTGATATGTATATGTGATGTTGGTTTTTGTGTTGCTGTTGTTAAAAAAAAGTGCAATAACTGTGAAGTGATGCATATACATGCAAGAGTCTGTTTACATGAGATAGTTTTACAAATAAAGTGAACAACATATGAACTTAGAAACTGTATATATTTTAAAAAACAACACATATAAAGATATGTTGTGAATTCTTTGTGCAGCCTGTCTGGCCACTCTGAAAAGCTGCTTTGCAAAACCTCATTATGCACTTGGGGATATAACATGTAAACCATTATTTTGCTGGTGTTTTTCTTTCTGTCTTTAATACATTCAATACATTTTTGTGGGGGTTTATTACATAATTTACTTTCTTCTTGGTCGGGAAGAGAAATCTGTACATCCCTGCACCATGTCTTTGAGAATGTAAATGGTGCAGTACAAAGACCAGGGTGGTGTTTGATGTTTCTATTCAGTGCATATTTTAAGATAAATAAAATGGTTTTCCTATCTCTCCAGTGCTTGTCTCATCCACTCTCCACACATTAATTAGCATTGCTTACAGCTATTTTAGTCATTTTTACTGATATGACTGATTTGACGTTACAAAACAGACAAAAATAAGTGTGTGTGTGTGTGTGTGTGTGTGTGTGTGTGTGTGTGTGTCTGCGTGTGTGTGTGTGTGTGTGTGTGTGTGTGAGGAAAGGCATATCAACACTGGAAAATGATGATGTAAGTTATCACTGCCCAAACTGAAATACAATGAAAGTAAAATCAGGCTGACACAAAATGTGACTATATTATATGTGAATGTAGTATAGAATTGGCTGGTACGTACTGTATTACTGTACTGTAATTGTTAATACTTCTGACACATTTGTTATTTCAATGGCTTATTAAATGACTGTTATTACACTCCAATGTGTATTGTTTTCTTAAGATCAGTGCTGGTCTAACCAGAAATGTAAGTTTTAAAAAGACTGAAACCAAGCAGTGCTGCATCACTGGACCGACCCTCGTTGGTGTGAACCAAAAACTCCCTCCAAAGCTGTGTTGATATTGGGTGTAATAAAGAAAATTATGGACATTGCATTATTCTAACACACACAAAATCAGTTCTATGAGCTCACTGTTCTGTGTTGCAGTGCCCTCTGGTGGTCGTTATTTACCCTGTTCTCTGTTGGTCAACAAGCCAGTATCAACAAAAATGAGATTGTAAGGGAAGCAAATAACCTGGCAATGTTTTAGCAGCCTCCAATCACTGCTACAGTTCATGAGATAAGATGAAAACATAATACAAGCTATGTTACTCCATACATAACTTAATATAACTAACTGAAAATGCATTTGGATGTATAGTGTATGTACCTTTTATTTATTTATTTTGTAAAATCTGTCTTTCCTACTGTGTTTTGGTGCTATAAGTTAATGTGGGAGACTGCAAATACTTGAAAACACATAATGAAACTAGTATTTAGCACGTGCCATTAACATGATTAAACATGTTTAAATGGATCAGTTCATTTTTTCTGGACATTTAAATGTTCTCTAAGAGCCCGTCAGTTAACACAATTTCCTCACTGTTAAAAATGCCACACTGGCCCAGGGAGGGAGAGAAGAAAGGTATACTTCCTCTTTCCAAAAAAACATTGAGAGACAAGGTGCATTGTTTCCCCAGAATCAGACAAGGAAGTGACCTATGATTATCAGATCTCTGGTTCCTCTTTGTGTTCTGTTTAAACTCACAGCTGTCTCCAGCAGGTCCACAGCCGGACACAAGCTTGTTTTTTTTGGCACACGGACGGACCCAGAGAAGCAGAACATCCTCTTTAAAGCTCAGGTGCGAACTAAACTTTTCATTCATGTTGTAGGATTTAGGTAAATGCAAACCATTCAAGTAACTGCATTGAAATGTAGCCGAGTTAGCAGATTGGCTTCAGATACTGACTGAAGGAGGAGTGTTTCTGTGTTTGTCTCTGCTCCTAGACTTGGTCAAAGCTCCTCAGTGTTGTATGGATACCTGAGAAGTTTTGAACAAGTATAGGATCTCTGACTGTCACTGCATCAGACGGGCTTAATACAGGGCAAGAATGACAAAACAATACTGCAGTGTTAAGCAAGATGTACTGTAGTACTGTACATCAAAGTTAAAGGTAAGCCTTCTCACATGCCAATACAGTATTTTAATGTTTGCATGACCTTTTATTACCTTTAATCACCGGCTTTGCAGCTACATACATCCAATACCTGCAGATATCAGTCTATATAAATTGCTTAAAATAATAAGATTAGCCAAAAGACATTTGATTCAGAGGAGCTAACATGAAGAGGAAAAGATCCAAAAATTAAACTTGACATATCTAACGTAACCAAAAAGCTTTTCTGCACTGAAGTGCAACATTTTAACCATGAATCTTCCTAAAATCTCAAAATTCAGATTAGAAATTGTTATCTTTTTAATGTTTTAGTGTCAAGATGAAGAAATATAATCATATAATATGCAGTTCTTTAAGATATCGGTCTTCTGTCAAGTTAAAGCAAAACATCTACAATTTAATAAAGACTTTACAGAGAGATACTGGTGTAGGATACACTATACTATACTATTCTAAACTAAAACTAATAACTGTAATACAGTAACAAACTGTGCATACACTGTGGACTTAGTCTTGTACCCAAAGCACAACATGATTCCTTATTTGGTAGACACGAGGCACAACAAGAGGCAACTGTTTTATTTTCATACACATTGACAAATGCCGTACAGCTAGACAGAAGGGTGTTAGTGACTAAACCATACGCCCTCAACATCACAGACAAGTCAGGAGAACAGTGGAGACAGAAGAAAAGACATCATGAAATACACTAAACAGATTTTATCTGTGCTGGCGGAGCAACAGCATTTGAAACAGACAACTTTCAACTTTGTGCCAACACAACACCCGTGTGTGCGTCTAGCAGTCAAACACCCAACCATTAGCACATCGGGAGAAATACACATTCAATAACAAACAAAATGGTGAAACGCAAATGACGTACAGTACTGCTGTATGGAAGACATTCTCAACACACTTTTTTTCAACATGTGAAACAGGAAGAAAGCATAAAAAAACAAAAAAACAACACAAGAACAAATAATTGTGCATTGGCTTATTAAGTCTATTTCCCTGAGCAAAAGGCTCAATCAGCATAGAAATACACTACTCCCCCCTACAGAGCATCACTCTGAAATGTACTCGGAGAGCAAAACAAGGTGCGCATTTTCAAATGTTTCTTTAAGGACACACCACAGCAATTTCTACACCAACATTAGGACCACACTGGTGCGGTTTCATGTTTTTGCCAATTTACTAAGACCAAAAGCTCATTTGTTTTTTACATTACTGCTTTTCTTTTAGTATCTTCTATGTAGCCATCAGTACAAAAACAACTCAAGTAGCCCACTATGTTGAGTTTTCAAAGTTGTCATTGTAAAGCAATGCATAAAGCATGGCTCAAGTCCACTTATCTAGTACATTCAGGTGCTGGTATACCCACTAACGTTTCAAGACATCAAAGTTAGTAGCTGTAAAGCGCCGTATACATGAGCCATACTGTCCAAAATTCAAACTCACAGGGGCAAGATATTAGCAAATGTGGAAAACCTTAGAAGCAGATTGACAGCTTGGCTGCTGTTGTGGAATTAGTGTGGATTAGTCTCATTACAACATAAGCACACTTTCAGTCACATCGCCAGATAACAATACTGTAACTGACTAAAAAAAAGAGGTTCACTGTGATCAGCAACGTAACCAAGTCGAGCTCATAGCGAACTGAAATGAAAGAAAACCAACCACTTAAGAGAAACTCACTGAAAACACAAAGAAAATCTTTGTTCTGCTTTGAAAAACCACCGGCAGTAATGTTTGGTGTTCATGGCTTGTAGTTAATTGGCTAAAACCAAGGTGGTCCTAATAGCTATAAATGTAATATATATGCATTGTGATGGTGTCGGTCACAGTGACCATCAGGCAGTTAAATTGAGCACAATATTGGACTAAGTGTGTTCAGTCTACTGCTAGAGATACAGAATATATTAAAGGGGCAGTTCATCCAAACAACAAAACAATAAATAAAAAATTTCTCACTTACTGCTATATGCAACCATGCAACAATACAATGGAAGTGAATGATATTTCATTTGTGGTGTTCAAATCTTTTAAATACTTGCCTGTCCAGAAATAATGTCCAAAGCACTAAAGATAATCCGCAGATCTCACTGTGAACATTGAGGTTTTAAGTCTTTGTGTCAGACTATTCAGTTTTTTAAACCAATTATTATTTGATGCTTCGAGCGTCATAAATGAAAATACATTCACCTCCATTGTAATGGAGTTACAGCAGGAATCTCAAACCCATAGCATGAAACCAAAACTATCTTACTGGCTAGATACTACTAAGGGTAAGTAGGACAATATCTGTTGTTATACTTTAGCTGAACTGACACCCTAATACATACAATATAAAATGGTGACTTATTCATTTCTGCTGAAACTTCTTCTTTCACCAAACGTTCCCACAAATGGTGCAAAGACAAGAAAAATGCATAAAAAATATAGTTTGGGCACCATAGGCAGGAGTTTGTCCAGTCTTGTCTGTGTGGTTGGAAACAACACACCCCGTAAAATGAAAAGAAATCACAGTGCAGAGCAGCCGTAATCATAAGGGGCCAGTAAGAGCATCTGAAGAAGGGTTGGTAAAGCACAAGTCCTGTTACTGGGACAGACATTATTCTCTTCTCTTTTTGCTGTTGAAGCTCAGTCATTACATATGAGGTACCGCAGTGTATGACAAAATGGGTTTTTTTTTTTAAATAGAAAGCATCTTTTGTTCAAGTTGGAAGATCAACAATAGCTGCAAGACAAGAGCTTTAAAATATGACTGGGTGCGTTAAAGCTCAAAGTCACTCGTTTGCCCTTTTATCATCCTTTCTCAACAAGATGCAAAAGAAATATGTTTGAACAACTTGTGATGAGAAGTTAAATAATTCTGGGTAATTCTTAGAATTTCTATTTCTTTAGGATACATGTAATCCTGACATACACAATACATGGAACATGACATGAGCATGTTTTTTTTTTTTTTTACAGCGCTGGGAAGAATTACCCTCAGTCACTCTCAGACCCATCTAGATCTCACTCTCTGACACTCTCTAGTCGTCCACGGTGATGTTGCGGAACAAGTAGGCCATGGACTCTCCATTGTGGATGCGGCGGATGGCCTCAGCCAATATCATGCTGACGTCCACAGTCTTGATTTTGGGACACTGCAGTTTCTGTACTTCATGGGGGACTGTGTTGGTCACCACCACCTGAGGGGAGAACAATCACAAAGATAGCGTTTAGGCTTAATGAGACAGTTTCCATTTGAATTAAAAAGCAGTTTAAAGTGTGCAGTTTCTTGTCAGGCTGATATAAAAACGTATGTGGCACTGGTGACAGTCACAGATTTGGTTATGAGTGATTAAATCAATTAATTAAAACTAGAGCACAAACGTGTGCACTCATTCGTGAAAGAAAAATTGAGTTTGACAGATGCTTAAAGTAGTTTGAAAGAGAGAACAGAAACGGCCTGTATGTGTTTATACACATTGCATGGATTTTTTTTTTTTTTTAACAGACAAATATAAACACTTTTGAAATGGAAGTCTAGAAACCGGAGATGGCTTAAAACTGATATTAGAACTTATTAATCCACACAGAGAGATCCAACATACCAGATTTTATATTTAAGTCAAAAAGCTGCCTGGGAAAGCTAAATTCAGCTAACCAATGCCCACCCAGTACATATGGGAAACAAACAGGGATTACAAGTAGTATGTTCTAAATTAAACAAATATCATAAACCTTGAAACATTTTATAAAATAAATACTAAATTTAAACAGAACTGTTGTGTTTTGAACCCAGGACAGTTTGAAGGAACTGAAAATAGAAACTAGTAATTTACAGAAATGCAACTGCTGCATATAATAATCCTTTCCTTGTTCTAGGTACAACTAATTTCATGCAATAACATTTCATCTGAAAAGCCTTCCATTAGGAGGAAGTACTTACTTTTACATTGTGTTTAAAAAGAATAAATGAGAACTTATGAACAAGAGCGTTTTATAATCGTTTCAAAGAAGTTCTTCAGTTTGGCATTTTTTTCTTCCCTTATTACTTCTCCTTCAGCTTCCCTTGGTATTCAACAGGTTTGACACAGATTTTCATTCAAACTCAACAGTAATAACGTTTTCTGATTTAACTAAATGAAATACGAGAAGAGACACACACTACTGACAACAACAAGTTCAGGTGTCCTCACCTCATCAATGGCAGATTCCTCTATGAGGCGTGGAGCATCGGCAGACAGTAAGCCATGTGTGGCCATGATATAAATTTTATAGGCTCCTCTCTCTTTCAGGATCTCTGCAGCTGCAACAAAGTCTCCGACATCATCTATAATGTCATCCTGGAAGAAGAAAAAAAAATACAACATGTGGCTGAGACTTAACAATCACGACCTCCTTCCTTTGGTTATCTCTCAGTATTCACAGTATCATTAAGCAGCTTAAGATAATGGCAGGAACAATAACGTAGTAGTTATGAAGTCAGTGAATTGAATTAGTAATGTCTGTCATACAGGAATGTAGATGCAAAACTGAATTCAGTGTGTGTGTGTGTGTGTGTGTGTGTATTAATGATTATGAATTAAACATTTTATGTGCAAGAGGAAGAAAGTTAATACTCCTTTTAAAAATTGACAGTCCAGATTTAAGGTGTGAAAATGTAACTCAAATAGCATGAGTACTTCAAGCAACAATAAGGAACTTTAATTTTTGGTTGATTCTGGCAGCCCCATGTGGACAAAAGGGTTAACTTGAGATCACATCTTAACCAGTTAAATACTCCTCGCTGCAAGTTCACATTTGCTCTAGTTATATTACTACTGTCTACTGTATCAGGGGTCAACAACTTTAAATACCAAAGGAGCCATTTTTGGCCTAAAAAAAAATAAATCAGTTTGGAACCGCAAAACATATTTGAGCCTTATAATGCTAATTTCCTGTATTTCCTTTTATTTTTTGATTTTGGAATCTATTGCTAGCCTAGCTAGGGAGACTTAAGACTAGTAGCCATCGCTATTGAAGTTCCGCAAAATAGAGAGGAAAAGGTGACATAACGCACATTATGGTAACTAATGTTAAAACATTTATTTTTTTCAAGTTTTATTCAACAATTATAGATGAAAATGTAAAAAAAAACAACGTTATTTTAATCAAATTTCTTGTCAAAGCCACAGGGAGCCATGTAGAGCGGCAGCAGAGCTGCAGGTTGCCTACCGCTGCTATAGGTGATAAGAGGAATTTACAGTGGCAGTAAATTCATTCATTTACCACTGAAAAAGCTTTGAAATGCTGTAAACAAGAACCATGAAAGAGTAACAGTCAGAAAATAGCAGAGCAGCTGACAATGACAGCTCAACCATGTGGGCTACAAAAAGTACATTTACAGCATCTTACCACAATGATGGCAATTCTCCCTCCCACGTCTCCGACTACAGTAATGGGAGGTTTCTCCTTGGCCATCATCACTGCAAAGAAAAGCGGAACTGGTTACCTGTGACAGCACGTCAAGGAAGGTAAGCGTGCTGCATTTCACCTAATCAAAAGTAAATCTCAGTAGATTGGGTAAAATGGGTTGAGAAAATGTTTTGCAATTAAGGCAAATCTACACCCCGAATTAGGAGGTTGTGATTGGATGATGTAAATGATTTGTATAAATTCTGTTAAGAGTGACTACGCAGGATTACATTTTAAAATAGCAAATTTTTCCCCCCATTGTACCCCACCTACCCCTGGGAAATTAAACTGAAATGCCAAACTTAGTACAGCACATGCCATGCAAAATCAAATGACAGGGTTTTCTGCCCAGGATACCCAATCAGAAGGCAACATATAACCGCCTGGACACACACAACCTCAGGCCCAGGCTGTGGCAGGCATATGGCAGCAGTCTGCATATGAACCAATATGCACCAGACAATCTTATTTCACACAGGACGACAGTGGCTGACAAGCACTGATGAGGGTTTCTTCATACACACTTGCCAATGTTCTGGGGTCAGTCCTCAGTCGAACATCACTGCTGCCAGCGACTACTTTTACATGCACGCAATAATCAGACTGCATCTCGCATGCCAATCACAGGAGATGCAACAGCTGTACTTTTTGGAGCTAATCTCACACAACAAACAAAATTTAATTACTCACATCTAGTCATTGTGAGTACGTCTGAGCTGTCCATCATCACAGTACAGAGTCTATACGTCTATTAATGCAATTCTCTCCACTCCGATTACAAGCGGTAATTTTGTTTGCATATATAATACCATGCAACTTTTCAATCTGCTAGAGGTCTATAAACTGTCACACAAAAGGTTAAATAGAAACATTACATGTTGAAGACAACATGAAAGTCATCTACCTTGTAACAAACCTAATAATATGATATAAACACACACACAACTAAAATAAATTACTCTACACATGTTGCGAGTTTAAGCATTAAAATTAAACTAGGGTTAGATTAAATGTAGCTTATTTAAATGACTACCATTTAAATACATACTTGATACATAACCCAATAAAAACAGCTGCGTTTGACGTATTGCTGTGCATGGAAATGTAGTCATTCAAAGGGTACAAGGAAACAATCCACTGGTAAACAATCAGCCAGCCAAGCCGATTGTGAAGGAAAAAGTATAAAGAAGCAGAGAAAGAAGGAGCATGCCTTGCAGAACACTTTGCTGAATACCGTGAGTCCCACGGCATCAGAAAACCTGGCAGTGTCACATTCAGACGTTTATCACTCTTAACCAAAAAAAGGGCAAAAGCCATGTTGTTAGCAGTACACACACTTCTCAAAGATATGTTGTTTTTACAGCTTGCTGAGATACTGCAACAAGCTACCTGAGAAATGTTTGGTCAGAAATCTTGAAATTAGGTTATAAGCAAATTTGAACAACAGGTTGGCATTGCATTACAGAAACTTCTACCATAGAGGGTGTAATACTAATTAATACTTTTAAGCATGATATAAGCATTGAAAAACAAACTAAAACTTTGATTTGGGCTGTTTTTATGCTTAAAACGTACCAACAATTACATTCGTAAAGTGTCTTCTTCCCATCATTGGATATTAAGGTTCAAAAGCATGCTTCATTGTTATCGCCACATGCAGTTATGACCAAAAGTTAATCAGGTTTTCAAGAGCGGGTTTAATATGGGTGCACCATGTGTTGATTGGCAAGATGAGTCCAGATATTAAAGTAAAAAATAAAACAAACAAAATAATGTTTGGCATGGTTCTGGTTTGATTTATGGATTTCAAAATAAAATCAGAACACAACAAAACAAAGAGGGGTTTGGTCATCTTGTAGAACTAGCTGTCTGGAATCGTAGAAAGGTTCAGTAAACATGAGAGCGGCTCGTTTCAAGTCAAACATGCCATGCAAACAGCACAAAGTACTGAGCACACTGTCGCTGATTCTCCTGAAAAGATGAATGCAAATTGTCTGTGCACTAAAGATCAGTTTGTGCGTTTTCCTCAAACTCCCCCTCCTGATTCCAGACTGTATTTTCACAAGATGCAACACAAACCCTTTCATCTACTCATGCACGAATTGAGGAACCATTTGAAGAGGAATAATTTTAAAGTCAGATGTAAGTTATGTTTACGGTCGTACTTGGGAGCTCTATGCCAGGGAACGGAGCTTGTTGTTTGCCTGCTATTACCAACAAATAAACACCACGTTAACACAAATGCACAAATATTTGACATGACAAACACATGATGCCAAGACTTGGAAAATCCTCTCGCTAGGTTGACAGAAATATAAACAATTTTCACATCAACAAATCAGACTCATTGTGTTAAACCTACAGCAAAGTCTTGTTACGGCTGAAGGAGTTTGTGCGCTGTTGTTCCAAAAGGAGGATTTTTTAAGTCAAGGGTGAGAATAGAAACACAAGTAACTAAGAAGATAAATATTTTACTAAATAATAAAGTAAATACTGGACGTTAATACTTTGGAATCATTTGCCAATGACACAATTATTTGATATCATATATAAAGGCCTTACCAGGAATTAACACTGCAAATATTTTTAAAACTATATTCCAGAGTCACGTTAGTATTTCTCACCAAAAATAAAATATTTTAAAATCAAAGTATGTGCCACGAAACAGACAGCGACTATGATTCTATGATTATTAAGCACATGACTCTTTGTAAGTTAGGAGTTGCAGCTGGCGGAGGATGCAGCATGAGTAAAAGTAGTGTGTCTGTGGATTTAAAACATGCAGTAACACAAAAATCTATTTCTTGGAGTATGGTTGATGACATGAGTAAGAAACAGCAGAATCATCAGCTCGAAAACAGGTTAGCACAAATAAGAGCTATATTAGGTTGTCGGCAAGATTTATATTATGAATGCAGTGAAGTAGCTAGACTAGCAGGAATGATAAGAAAGTTCTTGCTGAATTTGACCATGGTGTGACAAATAAAAAGCACCCAACAGTGAGAAACAATAAACAGGGATATGTTTTCTGTACAGCTAAAGTCTATAGAGCACTGGACCTACAAAAAAAAAAAACCCTGAAAAGCATCAACAACTTCTACAAAAATAGGGGTTCTTACAAGGAAGCTCCAGCCCTGTGTGTCCAGTGGTGTTGCGTACACAAGGTGGGGAGTGTCTTCCATCAGCCATGTCAGACTCTGAACACTGAGCCTCGCCATGAATCACAGCCAGGCCCAAACGCAGGCGCTCTGCGTAGGACTGAGCCCTAGAACAAAAACACAGAGAAAGGTCAGAATGCAGTGGTGAAATGGGGAAGACACCTTCATCATTTTCCTTCCACCTACATATATTTAGTCACATACACTGAAAATGACATACAGCATCTGAATTTAAAAAAAACATTGGCATGATTGAATAGCTTTTATTTCATTATAACAATGCTAAAAGAAGCAGGGACATGTTCTGCATCCAGCAGTTACCTCTTAGCTGCTGACGGGGACTTTGCCACAATGATGGCATTTCTGTAATCAGGAATCTGACAGGAAGAAGGGAAACAGATGTCAGCGTTTCTATCAGACTGCCTGATTGATCTGGTTAAAAGGTCTAAACACACACAGTAGACATTAAAAAGGGATGTATCACCTCTTCTTGGATGTACTGAATCAAGAAAGGAGATGCACGCAAGTTGTCCACTGGAAAGCTGAAGAAGCCCTGGATCTCCTTCTGATGCAGGTCCATGGTGATGATGTGTGTTAATCCTACAAAGACAGATAAGTAGCACGGACTTATGTCACTGTCAACAATTAGATACATTTTAATGGCAGAAAGAGACTAAACAAATCACAGGCTGGCATTCATTTTGTTATCTTTACCTGCTTTAGCTAACATTGAAGCTAACAACTTGCTCACTATCGATCCCCTCTTCCTCATCTTGCACTGTTTGCTGTAGGGGAAGTAAGGAATGACTCCAATAATGTTCTTTGCACAAGAGGTCTTGAGGGCGTAGGCCATGACCAGCAGCTCCATGATGGCTGTGTTGACATCTCTGGTTGTACAAAAACAGAATAAAAAGGACATTATGAACTTGAACAAGTGATAAAAACTGTAAGATCTGACTCACAGGTAGTGAATTTGTGCTGAACTCAGACATTCATTTATTTTTTTTTAAGTCTTTTTGCAATGCAAATGACATGCCTTTCTATACTCACCGTGGTATGGTCTGAATAATGAAGATAGTTTGTCCTCGCACGGATTCTTTCACATCCACTCTAGTTTCTATTGTAAAGGAAACAAGGACGACACCATCAGTTAATTTAGTAAAGCTGCATCTTAACACTTTATCTTGCTGACTTTTTGCACCTTCTCGGGTAATAATGCCCCAAAATATAGAGAAGTGATCTGATGATTCAAGTAAAATATCTACATTTTGTGTAAATCAAATCCTGCTGTGCACATTTAAATTATATTATATATATTATGAAAAGGGGCACCAGTTTCATCTCCAGAACAACAACAAATTCTCACACACAGTCAGTCGTTCATTCAATTCACAAAGGGCTCTTTTCATATTGCTGTACGTGGTGAAGTAATAATTACAAGTTGCCTTTGTTGGTAACATTAATTCCTTTGCCTATAAAGCCACAATATCCTCCTCACCTCTGTTAGACTCCTGAAAGACCACAGACTTCCCCAGTTCAACTCCCAGCCGCCTGTGAAACAAGAGCAGGAGTAGAAACAATTGTGAAACGTGAACTATCACACAATAATGCCAAATGCTGGGTCTCACACACAAAGCAACATGACACCTCTTGCACACCATTCATTCACTCATTCATTCATTCATTCATTCACCATCAGACAGACTCAAACAGCTGCATGCGTTTCTCAATTTTCAATGTCACCCAATAACCATTAATAAATCTTATTTATGGTAGTGGTCAGTGCTTCATTTAAAAATAAGGCTGCTGGTAACCGATCCCCTAACATGATGAAATACAGCTCACATTCACACGTAACGTTATGTCTGAGAACAACTGGGTGTTTAAACATTATCAAGCAGTCGGTAACGTTAGATATATGAAATATAAGAAACGCCACATTGTGCTTACTCTGTTATCTTCTTGGCCAACTCTGTGCATGCTACGGAGGAGTTTGCGGAAAAGACACGATAGCCACTTTTAGCGACATTCATCGTGACACTGCTGGAGTTTATTTTATGTATTTTCTTTCTATGAACAACCGCGTTTGTTTGTTTTCCGCTTTTTCTTCCTTTGACGCTGTCGTTAGCTTACCGACTAGCTAGCCAGCTACCGCACATTAGCCTGCTAGCTAAGTGCACGAAATGACCTTCGGTGTGCGATATAAACGGAGCTACCGCATAGCTACAAAACAAACATTAATGAATGTCTTTATTACACTAATTTATCCGCTTGTTGGCGGACAAACGGCTGATACCTGTCACTTAGGTCGCACTGTAGCCTAAACTGACCACTCTTAGAACTACGGGGTCCGCTTTGGGTCATATCCAGCCAGCTACGCGTTGCAGAACCATATGAGCGTGACTTTCCTCTCAGTGATACCCATTCGCTTAAGTGTTTGAGTTCGTTGTTCTTGTGCCGTAAGGTGTAATGGTTTTCTTAGAAATCTTTTTATAAATTAGGGTACATTTTATATATAGTTTATAAGTCCTATCTCACGTGCCTGATATCCTTTTGAATTCAAATGTACACAGTTGGGCCAATCTGGGCATAATAGGTGTTAAAAAGCATTAATGTAGTAATATTGTGGTAATGTCTTTATAGCCTAATAATTGGCTACTGTCATCTTAATGAGCAGGGTGGTAGATGGAAGGATCACCATAAACTCATGGATTAGTGACATTTTAAGTGTCAGTGATTAGATTAGATCAAATCAGCTTAATTTATGTATTAGGTAATTATTTTAAAAGAAATGTTGAAGGCCTATTACGTGACTTCTTCCTTCAGTTTTTTGAAATATGGGGTTTACTCTTGTATAATTAATAAGTGACTTTTTCTATAAATAATTTACATAAACTGTCCACATTTCATTTGTCTGCAAAAATTGCATTTTCTGACAGCGTCTGAAAAGCAGTATTACTCCAGCTGTCCACTAGATGGTATCACTCATTAGCCCTGATCTACTGAATTAGGCCTTCGAGGTTTTTGGATGTAACATAATGAGATGATGAGACTATTGTTTGTCTGAGGAGAGTAGGTTAAAGGTCTATTATATCTGCTATACCGGGTATAACATGATTATGAACTGCAGTCTGAATTTGCGAGTGTGGGTGTGAACAGCAGAAATAATCATGAAGCATTGCTAAATATATGTCTGTGTTCTCCTGTGGAAACGGGCAGAGCATGTTGATCTACAATCATTGACCGAGTCTCCTTGTTTTTCTGATCCACTAGTAACTAATCTGACCCCAGACCAGCTGGTTTAATAGTTATAAACCTGTGCAAAGAGAAGCTTAATACATGAACTCTGTTCTTGTTGTTTTGCTTTTAATTGGGAGTGTCTGAAATGGATGGAAAGTTTAAATATTTACAGTATGATTAGCTGATATAATAACTCAGCTGTATTGCTGTTTGGGTAGATGATACGACTGCTTGCACAGGTTATTTTTCTGAGATATACACAGCAATCCCGGAAATATGAGATGAGTCTACCTTAAGCACAGTTTTTTACCAACTTGACTGTTAATGCTACACTATCAGGACTCTGTCAATGTTTAACATGGGTCCGTATATTACTTGTTGGCACCTACTGAACATTGTACCTCCCAGTAAGGCAGTAAACATCACCTCAATCATAGCTATTGTTACAACATCTGATGTCTTTTCACTGCTCCAATGTCTGCTCTCCTCAGTGTTATCTCACAGATTCCTGGCTAATTGGCCCCGTTCGTCCAGCCCACTATGAAACTTGAATAAGAACATTCTCAAGTTTTCAGCTGTGACAACACAGGCGAGATACGAACTCCCGCTGATAACCCCTGCCACAACAAAGGTGTAAAATGTATGCATTTGAAAAATTGCAGTGAGAACTGTGTGGGTCTCTTGAGGGAGTGTGCATATAATTAAATGAAAAATAGACTGAAAACATGCTGATCCAACCTGTATCTTGTTATTTACAGGTTGCCCTATTTCTGACGGACATCATGCTGTTTCATTTTCAGTCAGAAAAGTGTTTTTACATTTACGTTGGCAGGGCTTTGTAAGAAATTCAATATCATTACAGGTTAATCTCCTGGATGGTCCTGGGTGGTGACGATGGAGGAAAAAGGTCAGAGTGTGCTACTATATTTTATTTTAACGTCCTTAATCTTACATTGCATCCATGCTCACATCCATTACATATCTGACTCTCTTATTAAGGATTTGTTTCCTCATCTCATCATATTTTCAGCAAACACCACCTACAAAGGTGAGGTGGGTAGAGGGAGAAAGAAAGGGGGGGGGGTGACGGAAGGGAGAGTGTAAAAGAGAGAGTACAGAGGCTCCTCCTTGTTCCCTGCGTGTGTTTCTTGTGTTTTTTCCGCCTGTTCTTCACTCACACTCTCGCTCAGCAGAGATTCAGAGGTGGAGAGCAAAGATTCTCACTGGGAAAAACCGGGGGGGAAGGGATTTTCTTCCTCTCTCACCAAGAAAGAGACACAAACAAGAAAAGACTGAAAGGTAGAAATATAGTGTTTATTTGGAGGGAAGGAGTACCTTATCAGAGTCCTGCCTCCTGCACGTGTTCAGCTCTGCACAACTGTTTTCCCAGATGGAGAGGATGCAGGGAGAGGGAGAGGTGGACCACCTGGAGCGACCAAGTCCTCTGACTGACAAGGAGAGGGTGATGATCCAGGACTCCTGGGCAAAAGTCTACGAGAACTGTGATGACGCTGGGGTGGCTATACTAGTCAGGTATTTCTTTCTCTTAGTTTTACTCTCCTGTATTATGTTTGACATTTTTTAACACAGATTGAGCACAGAGTTTGGAAGATATTTATATGATTCTGACAGAAAAATAATGCTGAAGAGGTGACAAATGCTGTGTATAATTAGAAGGAAGACGACATATATTTACTGATTAGCAGTTACACGTCACAGTTTCTAAATCCTGTACTGGGACTCATTTATGCAACTTTAATTAGTTCACTACTGATAAGGTCAGATTTGCATTTTCCCCTCAGTAATATAACTGCACCTGCTGGAGCCACAGGGCCCGCTGATGCTCTTCTGTCAAGGAAAACTGCAAACATATCTAAACCAACTTAAGTCAGACTGTGGGATTATCCTCTCTCAGAATGCAGTCGAATCTGAATGATCTCGTTGACTTTGCAAGTTTCCAGCCCGCACATGATATTCTCACCTCTCCTCCTTTTTTTTTCTTAATCTTATTTATCAAATAGTTGAGGCAAAGGATAAACATTACGATCAGTCAGACATCTTTGGCACTCAATGGGCTCCCTCCCCAGGAGCAGGTCATGTTTTGAATGCCTACAGCAGCATGACTCCATCGCTACCAGTTGGACCTTAAGAACGTCCTTCTTTTCTCAGAAATCAAGGGATGTTTTCATTACGTCTATCACTGTGGGTGTTTGGAATTTTCCACTCAAAATTTTTCATCAGTCATTCAAAGATTTCTTGGTGTACATGCAGTCCTGCTGGATGGTTCCTGCAGTTGGTACAGTCACTGTTGTTATCTCTCCATAGTGTTGACACGGAAAGGCTTTGATGGTCTTTCAGGTGTGGTGAGATTCACTGCCTGACGCAGCATGCCTTCATAATCCTTTATGATTGCAGGAGGTGAAAGTTAAGAGGGAGGTTAGCAGAACTGCAGAGTAGAATGTAGTTGTACAGTAGCATTCAAGAGAATATTTAAAATATAGTTTTTTTCACAGATAACTATTAGGATTTATGAAAAACATGTTGAAACTAAATGAATTTAACTGAATTTCCCCTTATTTTCTTTCACCACATTCCATCACAAGACCCTACAACCTTGAGGAATCTGAAGAATGGGGCTTGATCGATAAGCATGACCGCGATAAATTTTCCTTTAGCCGCATAAGCGCAGATGCCATCTCCTTGCTGAACCTCAGCATCAACTTGAATCCTTCAAACCAACTATCTTTAGGCTAACAGATAAGATCCAAAGTAGCAAATTATAGCTCTGAAATTAGAAACTTTCTCTGGATTCAGCTCTTCACTTATTCTCGAAAAACAGATAAGGAAGGATTAAGAGTCCAGTGACCATATAAAATACTAATGAGGCTATTTATATGCAACCACAGGTCATGCAATTACAAGAGAGAAAGATTAAACACCACAGCTCCTCATTAGTTTGCGGTGAAACTAGGAATACTTTGCTCAAGCACTTGCCTAGGCACTCCACCCAGAGCTGAGAGATATAAGACACCATGTGTCCTCCTTCCTGTTCTGACATTTAAATTCACAACTCTAAAATCTAACCATATGCTTCAGAGCTAAAAGAAAAAAATGTTTGCATCCTTTTTCTGTTAGTTGTTGCAGAGGGAGATGGGAGATGGGACATCGGGATTAGATAGCCAGCAACCAGATGCATTGGCCCTCTTCCCAGACTGTGGGAGGGGGGAGTTTTTAGGTTCCTCTTTGCTAATTCTCTATGATACCTCTGAGGGTCAAACAGGGATAGAAATCAAATAAAATGTCTTTGAACTGACTATTTGTTCTCAGAAAGAAAAGTGTGTGTGAGTCAGGATGTATAAAGAAGTATCAGACCTGGAACTTGAACAGAAATGTGAATAATACAATATTTATTCCAGGTGAAACATGAAATGTTCGCCGTCTTTGCAGTAACAATAACTGCAATCTCAACCATAAAGTAAAAGGTGTGCTCATGATAGTCTGAGTAGGCAGTGACATTCATTTTCCTCATCTCATCGCCCTCTCTAATTAGCACATTTCACCTTTTGTTAGGAATTGTGAAACCAGATCCAGGGCTTTTTTTCTTCTACTTTTCTTTTTTTTGCATGACAGAAACCACAGTGCAGAACCAGTCACACCCCTGAGCCAACAGGTTTTCCTTCTCATAAAATATATCTTTTATACAGTGAGTTTTAACTCAGGGAGTGATAAACAACATAACAACAAATGAATAATGAAATAGGTAACTGAAGACCTGTAGTTAATAAACAATTAATGCTTCTTCCGAACCCTTATTTAATGAGTGAACTATCACACTGTAGGCAAGAATCACTTAAACCCTGCTCATTTAGAAAGAGTGCAGAGTGGGAAAGGATATAGTTCCTCTGTATCTGCTTTATTTAAGGCTAAAGGCTTGGACCAACATACAAACACTGAAATTAAATTGAAATAACTAATGCATTCATCTATCAGCTTTATTGGCGAAGTATGCATACACATACAAGACTTTTGACTCAATGTACTTACACACATAACAGCAAAGAACATAGACAACAAGGCTAAACGAATAAAAGTAAAGAATAGACAAGAATAGTACAAAAGTATGTGAAAAAATAGGTGCGCATATAAAGATACAGTAAATATGTGGAAGAAGCACCAAGGACTAACAACGCAAAATAAAACGTCTAAAGTCAAATGTTTCAGCAAAACAATACAAATAGTATTATATTAAAGCTAAAGCTGAAACACTCATGAAACAGAGTTCCTCCCTGACACCATCAACCTTCAGGAGAAACATCTGTTACGGACATTTTATCTGATCCTGCAGAACAATCAACAATGTGAAATTTTAAATGATTTACAAGAGTAAGTAAAAGGGACCAATTTGACTTTAGGCCCTATGCTTAAAAAAGTAATGATGAAATATTATATTCATGTAAGAGACCAGCATAACAGCAGTCCTAAACATGTTTTGCCTTTCCGACTGTATCACTTCACAAGCCAAAGTATGCAGAAGAATAGAAAAGTCTATTCTGATGAACTGATAAACTCATCACAGTTATAACAAATGTGTTGACATCTAACAGCTATTGTGGTTAATAACTTTCATGTCTACAAGGCATAGTTATCCTTTTTGTGTCAGCATTTTTCTACAGCTGGATGTTTTCCTTCACTTTTTAAATTCTTTTCAGATGTATCGGATACATACCACACTACCTAGATAGTAGTTGAAAGCAAACACTTAAAGGGAAAATATGCAGCACCCTTATGTCAGTGCTGATATTTACTTATGGTATCTTGCCAGCTCAGAAAAAACGAACATTGGTTTGCAGGATCGAGCTGGTGCACAAGGGCGACGAGATTAGCGGAGATTCTCAGCAGCTGCTCATACTCATATCTATCATTTGGTCTAACTCTCCTTCTTTGCAGGCTGTTTGTGAACTTCCCCTCATCCAAGCAGTACTTCAGAGACTTCAAGCATATCGAGGAGCCAGAGGAGCTGGAAAGGAGTGCCCAGCTTCGGAAGCATGCTCACAGAGTCATGAATGCCATCAATACACTGGTTGAGAGCCTTGACAACTCAGAGAAGGTGGCCTCAGTGCTGAAAGTGGTGGGCAAGGCCCACGCACTCCGACACAAGGTGGAGCCTGTGTACTTTAAGGTAGGGTGTGTTAATAAAAAAAAGAAGTGACACACACACACACACACACACACACACACACACACACACACACACACACACACACACAATCAGACATGAAAAAAAAAAATTAAGCAGTTAAAGCTGCATAAAGGTATTTTTGACCACTAGAGGGCAAGAAGGGGCCACCCTGGTAGTTCTCCTGGTAGAGCTAGCTCCCCCATGTACCAAGGTTGAGTCAGTTCAAACTTTCTTCTGTCTATAAATATATATACTAGAGGGAAAGAAAAAAAAGAATAGTTAAAAAAAGAATTAATAGTTTAACACTTACTGCCATCTTTGTCAGTTGCCGAATGGAGTTGAGAAGGGAAAGAAAGAAGGAAACACCTCAGCTATCTTTGATAGACACATCTGAGACACAGGACAAATTCTGAGCCATAACATGACATTAATGGAATAATGATAGTCAAATTAGTGAGCTTTAGAGTTGCTGGCAGGCAGATTTTGTTGAATTTGAGCAGAGCGAGCCTAGCTATTTCTCCCTGTTTCCAGTCTTTATGCTAAGCTAAGCTAACCATCTGCTTGTGATAGCTTCATATTTACTGTACAGACATGAGACTGGTTTCAATCTACCCATCAAGTCTCAGTAAGAAAGCAAATAAGCGTATTTCCCAAAATGTCAAACTATTCTATTAATGGAACTTTGAGGTGTCTTAAGTGCTGCATTTTGTTGCGTCTTGCCCAGATCCTTAGTGGTGTGATACTGGAAGTCCTAGGAGAAGCGTTTTCAGAAGTTGTGACAGTGGAGGTGGCCGCAGCGTGGACCAAACTCTTGGCTACGGTCTACTGCAGAATCACAGCCGTCTATGAGGAAGTGGGCTGGACTACGCTCTCAACCTCAACTGGATGAAGTTTTTAGTCTGGGATTACTGGACCATGAGCACCCAGAGAGGGATGAATTGTACTGTACTGACATTTGAAGGGAAGTAATGTATCTTTACAGAAGTTATCTGACAAATCTGGGGAATACAGTTTATTGTAATCTAAGATAATTGTAGGCTATGGAACATACAGTCAATAAGAATACAATAAGAACTGTGCCCTTTTGATTGCTAATTGTGTGTGTTTGTGTGTGTGTGTGTGTGTGTGTGTGTGTGTGTGTGTGTGAGAGAGAGAGAGAGAGAGAGAGAGAGAGAGAGAGAGAGAGAGGAAGAGAAAAAATGAAAGCGCTCCTCCTTGTTGTTTTATACTCTCGTAAAGGACCAAACCATTTAAAGGAGAGAGCAAAGAGGAAGAAAATGCCACCACGAATCCAAAAGTGGACAAGAGGTCACATTTGACTTGGATGTGCCTTCTACTGAATGTGTATATCTAAAAACTGCCATGTAAATACCATTCTTTCTAAATATCGTGACGTTTCTCCTTTTATCAGTCTGTATCCACTTGTGTTCCCTTTATGAGATATTAAGAAGATTTTTTTTAAACATTTTTAACAGTTAATTGTAATGATTTTACATTTTTTCATTATGACTCACCTTTGTATCTGTATTTAGCAAAGTTTGAAATAAAAAATACAAAGAAAACACTGTGAAGTCACTGTCACAACGTTGAATCCTTTAAAATGTGTATCTGCTCTAATCTGATTCCCCTGCATTTCTTCTCACAATTGTGTTGACAAAATTAGCCTAATTAGCCTACTGCTCCCTTACTTCTCTGCTTGAGTCAGCAGTGCTAAGTATAAGTGGCTCAGCTGCTGAAAGTCCCCATTTATCCCACCATGCTCTCTCTTTTCACAATATACTGTAGAAACTGCACTTGGCCATCAGTGAATTATTTTTATCCAGATATACATTCGCTTGATTGGTGGCCCTCTTACAAAATGCAGTCCTTCCTTAAACAAAAAAAAACCCCATCAAAGTTGATGTGGCTTGCTGTGCTGACGACATGGTGGCGAGGTGGGTTTTTCAGATTTTCAGAATAGAAACACACAGAATGCTCTGTTTACCTCCTAGTCCTACCAGCGAGAGCCAACCCCATCCTTGATCCTAGCTAATCCTCTGAGCTAATCTCTCAATCATGAGTGAGAGCCAAGAAGGAAGACAGGAATAGTCAAGATTGTTACAGCACAAACTCATACCATTCAAGCCTTTCAATGGGAGGAGAAGCCTCAGTGCTATAAAACACCACCAGTCCCAAAGGCAGGAGGTCCTTGGGGATAGGACCATGTGCACCACTATGGTGGTCCTCACCACCATCGCTCTCATCCTGCGGCAGAGATTTTCCGGCAAAATCTGGCCGTGAGTACTGCTCGTGAACTCTTGTGATTTTTTAGCAGGCCGTCTGTAGAAAATCTGTTCTTATTTTCAATCACGAAACAAATAACAGACCTTTTCCGGCTTCTTTTTCAAGATTCAGCTTTTTAGATTTAGTTTCAGACTAGATTTTCCAATGCTGCATAACAAAAAAGACTAATTCAACAGCTTGAGTCTTGTGAGAAAAGCATTAAATACAGATAAAATACTTGAATCCATACGGTAGACAAAATATGAACAAACACAAACTCAGAAGGTGCATGCCTGTTTCATGTGTGGGAAAGTGAGGGAGGACGGTGAGACTTATCTGCATTGATTTGATTTGAAATCACTACTGAGATTATTTTAGGGTTCGCCTGGAGCAGCAGTGTGTGGATTAAGTGGCTCGATACATGACAACAGTGTATTCCAGTTTTTTTAATGGAGAGATGAATGGAGGGCAAAGCATCAGAGCTCTTGTGTTCATGGCTGCTAATTGACGTAAAGTGCAATCTTCTCAGCCCCCCCACCCCCCGGCCCTGCTTAACCACTCACACAGCAATGGCAAACAATACCACGTGGCACCATGGAGCATGGCAACCGATAGCTCACACAATTATGCGCGAATAAACAGGAAAACTTCATTTACAAATCTCTTCCCAGATAACTGTGTCCAGGCACTGTGATGATAGATATATGTGGCATTTAGTATTGAGTATTATGTTCTGTACCACAGGCAGAAAGAGGCTGTTGAGAAAGATGTGCCATACATGAAGAGCAATGGAGCAGCAGAAACCCCAAAAAGACAACAGTGAGCATCACAGGGTAAGGACACACAGACAGTCAAGTCAATGAAAACAGACTGAGCAGATGTATTGTAGAGCTATATGAGCCTTGAAAGGGTAGCTTTCAGCTTCAAAAACTGTGGCACTTGATAGCATGGTTCACGTTTCTCTGCCTGGTAAACACACGTCTTCCAAACTCCATGCGCCCAGTTTGTAAAACTGGCTCTTTGGGTAACACTGTGAGTCCCATTGTTTCTTAGAGTTTCCTAAAAAGGAACTAATATGTAACTGTATATTCTTATTAAGTTTCCGGGAAAAGGATGATGTCACTTGCTACTTATTTTAGGGAAAAGTGTTCAACTGGTACTACTCGAATTAATCACCTAGAGATATTTTAGTCCGTGCAAAGCTGGTCAGCTGAAAATACACAATTGTGAAAGAATAGAATTGTATGTATGGAGAATACAATGACAATAATGTAATATAAACTTGAATGGAGCAGTTCCTTTTTAAAGGGAATTCCAACAACTGCCCTTTAATTCAACGTCTAATTGAACTCAAACGACTGTCAGACCTTTGTTTCTTGCCAATTATGGCCAATTTATATAGCTGTTTCCATAAAAAAGTTGGGACCTGTAAAATAAAGTTTGTTATAAAGCTGTAGTCTGAGATAACCCTGTCATCAGACAAGAACACCACAATACGCTTCTATCTGATGTTTTACATTATTCATTTAAATAAATAATGTATATTTTTCATAATAGTTCATGTGAAAGAAAACAAATGCATAGCCAGACAGCCAGCCCTGTGAAACATTTCACTGGCTCTTGATGATGAGTAAACTGATAATCATATGTAAAACTAGTGAAGTACCCCTTTAAGTAAATTTTGCACTTTTCCTTTGAACAAAACTTATTTGAAGATAGCAGTGTTTGTATTGTCGGCAGTATTTTGGAGCAAAAAAACTGGGCTAATGCAATATATATTTAATCAAACCCGTTTTAAAAAGCAGTAAAATTAAATTAAATTAAGATGTGAATTAAAATACCGTATATAAACACAAAAACTGATAATCACAGTGGGAGAAAGAGAGACAGGAAAACATCCAGATAGAGAAAGAGACAGTTATGTGGAAGTGCTTGTGTGTGTGTGTGTGTGTGTGTGTGTGTGTGTGTGTGTGTGTGTGTTAGGGGAGGTTTACAGAGGGGGCTTCAGACAAGGGGAGAAAGTGGAGCAGTGGAGCATGTTACAGAGGCACAGATGCATAAAGAGCTAAGATGCCTGCCCCACATTTAGCTTTTAAGTATTCGCTGCTACACTGCTAATACTAAATGATTCAGAGGCAGAACAACAATCCATCATCTGTTCTGAGGGTTATTATAAATACAGTACCTCCATACAGCCACACAGTTTAATGCAGCTGTAAGAGATCTTGACATAAAGTAATAAACCACCAGACCATTTTACCTGTAGGTCACAGGCCTTTGATATCTTTCACTTATCTGAGTCATTTTTACGGGGGTAAGTTTATTCAGCTGAGTCAGGGTGATTCATTCTTGTCAATCATCATTTCATGATTATTTTCAAACATCATCATGACTTTGCATGTCAGCTTTTACTTCCCTCGTGCTCCTCCTCCCCTGCAGACAAGACCAGAGTGGGCCATCAAGTCCGGTGAGCATCAGGTGAGCTCTGTCATTTGCTAGTTTGACTTGAATGAAACCAGAAAACAAATAGATTGTCCACAAAAAAGAAAAAAGAGGACAATGTGTATTTCCTTCACAAGTTTTAAAGCAGCAAACCCTGATTTCTTTTCCCTTTCTTTCAGTGGCCGCTGCTATCAAGATATTTTCCCCCAGATACTACAAGAGAGACTTCCTGTTATCTTTTCTGTTGTTTTCTCTCATTGATCAGATTCTGATTCATGTGCACTTGACAGCTCACGACAAGACTCCCACCAGGATTTAAAAAAAAAGTGGGCTAGAAAAACAATGAGCCCTGTTTTGATCGTGGCTTCCCTTATCTGTCCTGCAGATGCTCTCATTACCGAAACCGGAAACAGCAACTGAGTGGATTCCAGCTTGGAAGATGAAGCCTGACAAATGCTGTGTAGCTATTTGTCACAAAAACTGAATTTACAATATTGTTTTCTGTTACAGAACAGATGTGGTCAGGGTTTTAAGTGATAAAACATGTTCTGTGCCTCTGTATTAAAACCAGCTACAATGATTTAGTTGATCTTCTTGCTTTTAAAATATTTTGAACTATTTGTGATAAATGTATGCATGAGGACAGGATGTATCTTAAAGAGTAGCTTCTCTGAAGATCTCATAAGTGACCTAATTAATCCTGAACTAGGGGCTGAAGTCATGTATTGTCTTGTGCACTGTATGGCAGGTAGGGTCATTCCGTGAGTCCCTTAAAGGTTCATGTTGTTCTCACAGGGGAAGCCCTCTGATTAAATAAGTGTCACTGTGTGCTTCTGAGTGTCACTGATATCGTCTCTTTTACATGAACTAAGAATAGCTGTGTTTGTTCTGCTGTTAACTTATTAAAATATGTACATTTATCTAATAATGACATCAGTGAAGCATTTATTTCCCCTCTTCAAAACAGGCTAGTTTAGAAATGGTCTGTTTTGTATGGTTTTGTTGGTTGCACATGGTTATTGTTATCAATGTGTGCTATTAGCAATGTCCTTTGCCTCCAAAGAGTAAAATAGATGTTTCAGATTGCATAAGAAATGTAGAATGACATTGCTGTAAATGGTGTTCTCTTTCAAAGTATACACTGGACTTTTGCTTCACAATCAAGTATTTAAAAACATAAAGGTTCTTTATTTTCTATATATTTTCTGCATTAAGTGCATTCTGAAACATGTCTTAAATGTTGATATAGAGCATGAAACAGAATAAGATAGACTTTATTGTTCTACTGGGAAATATGCCTGGGACATCACATTGTGTGCAGTTTAAAATCACAGAAACACAACAGTAAAAACAACCCCCCATCATCACAGTCATCTACAAAATTGCAAGGTAAAGATCATCCCATGGCATGCATTATAAACTCATTTCCATACACACTCATGCAACTTTATCACAGGAGAACTACTATCAATTATCAGCTGGAAGTGAGATATAGTCCAACAGACACTGTTTTGTAGTTTTTTGCTGTTTAATCTATCACAATAAATGTAGATTTGAAATAGTCTGCAGCAGGATACACTGAGACCCCCCCCCCCCACACACACACACACAGAACAACTCCCCACACTAACACAGCAACAAGGATGGTTTTGTGATGATGGAGATGGTTATAAATTTGAGCAGTGCGCTTACTGAAGTTATCATCGTACTGATTAGGAGTGCAGCATCAGGCCTAGACCTCACTGAATTAAACATAGGCTTCAGAAGATAAATTATTCAGCTCTTCAGTTTTGCTGTCACTGATTTGTTTCCACTAGCTCTCTGAGCTCTGGCGCCACCTGGTGGTGAAAGAGTTAGATTTAGATTTCACCGAGTAAGGAAGCAGCTAAAGATGTCAAAAGGAGTCAAAGACGAGCAACTTCAACATTTAAACGCAGCCCAAAACGAACTCATTTCTGAAACATGTTTCCTGAACGGGTACGCTGAAACTACGCTACCCACAATGCACTGCGGACTGTAAACAGGAAATGTGTGTCTCGCGCCGGGTTGTGGTTACGATGCTGCTGCAGCAACTAAATCTCTCAAAAATAGATGCTTGTGATTTGGCTTTTGTTTTACGTGCAGCTCAAATCTAAAACTTTGTCATTAACGTTACAACCATAAACTTTGTGTTAGCAGACTGAACGTGTGCAACGTGGCTAACGGCTGTTTATGTAGTTACTGTTAGCTAGTCTGTAGCTGTAGCGGTGTGATTGGGTTCAGTCTCAACTTACTGTGAGCAAAGTTGCCACATTTTTAAATAAAAAAAAAACGTCGCGACTAAACACACAAGTGTTAAAGCGAGACACAATGCGTTATGTAGCCATATGATCTAACTATAATGGTGTATTGGCTCTCTAACATGCTCGCTGACCGCCGTCACAGAGTGGTTACCAATGGAGACGGGAGACGCCTAATCAGATTTAGCTAGCTAGGTTAGGTTAGCTAGCCACCGTGAACGTTAACGCTGCCAGGAGAGAGTCAACATGGTGAGTCCAACAAAATCAACATCGTCGTGATTTATCAGTGGGAAAGTGAAATGCATGTTTTAATCACTTCGTGTGCGTTCAATTGGTTTGGTCTTTGCAGTAGAAAGTTACATTAGGCCCATCTACTCCAGCTGTAAAGTAACTAACTTAATTATGTTTCATTGCTGTGTACAGGCTACAAAGCTGAAGGGCAAATCATCCAAAAGTAAGTTCCTCAAGTGTTATTTGAATGCTGCACTCTGCTGTTTTAGGTTTTACTTTGCAGGAATTCACTTCAAATCAAGACATGTTTATTTATGTAGCCAAAAATCTCAGTGTGTCTCAGAGGGCTTTACAATCTGCACATCATTGTCTGTCTGTCTGTCTGTTGATCCTCAAATCATCTGGAGGATCTCTCCACCAGAACAATAACAGAACAACAGTAGCTTGTGGCAGTATACTCAGACTGGAGCGTATACACACAGAGGCAAATTAAAGTGTAATAAGATGACTAAGCTTTTGTAAAAAGTGTGTTCCCGATGTTTTTGCCTAGGTTTATTTGGAGATGATGATTTCCTTGACCACCTTTTTGATGATGAAAGTAAGTGAGCACTTAGGCAGTTTTGAACCAAACAGTATTATCATTTACAATATGGTATTACCACTGTGAAAGTTTCAAAAGATATGATATTTTCTCTCAACAATTTACTCACCAGAACACCCTGTAAGGGGGAAAACAACCCGCAGTGCACCACTGAATCGGTAAGTTGGGGGACTTCAAGAGTTAAATACCATTAATTATAAATTATAACTCGCCCCGTTTGTGAGTTTAATCATTTTTTCCATTTCCAGCTCTTCTGCCACTGATAACATCTTCAGTATGCTAGCAGAGGAGGTGAAGAGGGATGGTGGCGGCGCTGAGGTACGTAAAGGGAGACATAAATACGTATACAGTACATATTCATATATTCACAGTCTTACATTTCTAGCATAATGTTACTGTCTCTTTGTTAACACTTACTTTTATGTCCAAGGACTCCGATGTCTCTGCAGCAGATCCCAGTGACATACTGAAGAACATGAAGGTAGGTCATTATAAACAGTGGAAATGCAGACACAAAGTTCACCATCGTAGCTGTCTGTACAAGGTCTCAGGTCCACTCACACTGCCTATTGTCTGTCTGTCCGTCTGTCCTCATTCAGGACATGGATGATATGGATGCTGACCTTTTTTCATCAAAGAAAAAGCCGAGTTCAGCTCCTGCACAAACAAAGCACTTCGGTAATGAGGGGCCAAAGAAAGACTCCTCCGTGTTAGAACGGAGCATAAAACCAGAGGGAGCAGGTAATTCAGTGCGGAGTGTTCTTGCATTAATTATTTTCTCATTATTAGCTTCACGTGATTACCGGCTTTGAAGTTTACATTAGCAGCAATCAGAGCGAGCTGTGTCTCCCCCCCCCCCCTCTCTTCACTCAGACGAACCCACCACAAGTGGGAAGAAGCCAAACTCCGCGCCTTCGTCTACGGCACACAACTATAAGAAATTCACGTTCTCTGGTGAGTGACCCGCCCATCTGTGCTGCTGAGCTTTATATAACTCAATAGTTGCTTACTGATAGCTTTGCTTTGCTTTTCTCGAACTGCTGCATTCATGTAGACAGTGATGGTGATGACGAAGGTCTTGGTCAGACACCTCACGCTAAAGGTACATTAGTACAGATGTGATGTATGTTGGCCTTTTACTTGTAGTTGACTGATACCAGTAGTTTCATTGGGCGTCTGGGGGAGAGGTGCAGACAATAAAAAGTGACAATATCACACACAAATGTACAAACCTCAAGTAGATTGGCATTTTAGAGATCCAGTCATTGTGTTACCATATAGAGAGTTACAGTTTATTTGGTACACCTTTGCCATCCAATGCAACAGCCCTCCATAAAAATCACTATGTGTCATCTCCATTTACATACATGAGGGGGGCAGTATATAAAAATGCCTAAAAACAACAACGCAACATACATATGATAAGTTAAAACTCATAATTTGGATATATTTGAACATATGTGTATATGGTTGTATGGGTTATTAGTATCTATCTATATGATCCCTTTGTTGCTTTACAGTCGTGTTGTACAGTAGTGTCTGAAAACAGTGTAAAAAGAGTAAAGAATCTCATTTCCACTGCAGATCTAGACGACCCCCTAGCTGATCTACTTGATGACTTGCTTCCAGATGAAACCAAGCCTGAATCTAAATCTAGCGCACAGCAGGCCAAACCTGGAAAATCTGCACCATCTTCTGCTATCCCAAAGACTGAAACATGTGAGCCTCAAATAAACCATAATTATTCTTTTTCTTCCCACCTTTTTCATGCAATCACACAAACACTAAAGTCCTAGATGTGTTTGTCTGTGTATGTTCTTTGTTCACCAGCAAAGGCAGCAAAGAAACAAGCTGATCTTACATTTGATGATGATAAGGATGACCTAATGGATGCGCTCGGATTTGACAGCGACAAAAACAATCCCAAGAAAAAAGAGTCTGCGCTGTGGCCCAACAAGGAACGGTAACAGCTCAGTTTCCACTTTCACTGTCTCACTCTCATTGTTTGTCTTTATTTATAGTGCTGAAATGATAAATAATTACTGCTTTAGTGCCTCGGGATGCAGCTAAAAACAAAGCTTAACTCTGACAATGTTTTTACAAAGCAACAATCTTTCTTTGTTTTTCTGCAAAAATGCAAAAACTTTCCCTGCCTTCCTTTGTTTGTTAACATGCTGCATGGTACTGTATATCTTGTCTCTTCTGTCCTCTTTTCCTCTGCTGTGCGTACATTTAGGAGCGAGCCCCCTCAGAGACCTCGTACTAGACTAGATGAGATTCTGGAGAGTTTGCCTTCGCCTAGTCTTCTGGAGCGACCTCCGACGGGCGAAAGGAAGGACCAGCCTCAAGAAAAGCAGCAACAGGAGAAGACCTCCGCTGTGAAAGGTAGCTGAGCGCTCTGACCTTCTGCTTAACATAAGTATGAGTTTTAAAATAAAGCTGATTTTGTTTCCATTCATCAGAATCACTTTTAGAAGATGACCTCACATTTGGCTCCTATCAGCCCACGCTAGTATCCACGCCTGAAGGACGCCAGTCCCGCAGACAGTCTGTCAGGTGTGTGTAAAGTCCAATTTTGGTGCTTTACAGTGGGATTTTTGCCTGCTGTGGGAAACTGAACACTAGATTTTTTTTTCCTTATCATCAGATTTTCTACAGAGGATGTCAGTTCCACTACCCCAGAGAAGAAACCCATACCCACCACCCCCACCTCCTCTCGACACCGCAACTCTGCTGACTGGCTAGGCCTCAAGGCAAACGTTGACCATACCTTTGATGCCAAAGAGACCAAGGCCTCAGCAGAGTCTCCAAAGGCTCCTTCCTCTCCTTTAGTAGAGAGAAGACCCTCCCTGACGAGTAGCCACATCACATCTGCCGCAAAAACGGCAGCAGACACGCCAGCCCCGACTGATAATATCACGAAACAAACTAAGCCAGAGGTCTCCAAAAGCCAGAAGAGAGAAGAGGAGGATGACTGGTTAGCAGGGGCACTGAGCAGGAAGAAGGCTCAGTCAGTGTCAAACTCTGAGGCAAGAGCGTCGAAGCAGGAAGACTCTTTAGGCCTGGGAGAAGAAGAGTCGATTGTCAGGTACTGTGGACACCACGCACAACAAAGGAAATATGATGAGAGAAGAAGCTTGTTTCACAGTACTGAATGATAACTTGCTCTTGTTTTCAGTAAACAAGTCACTTCACAAGCTCCCAGGGGCGGAGAGGAGACTCTTACATCTGTCAAGGAAACTAGGTATGATATTTGTTGTGTCAATCCATTAAACCTGTGTACTGTAAATGACAATATTTTGCTAGTTTCATTCTCCTTTGTTTTGTGCAGCAACACTTTTCTTGGACAGCCGAGGCCCACTGCTCATTCTACTCCTGTCAGAGAGAAGGGGACCAAGCAAGGTATTTACTACTCGTTCTACAACATAACTGATAAATGATGAATTCAGATTGCACAGCAACCATACGTTTTAAAGCCTCGTCTCTCCCTGGTGCATTTACAGTAGAAGCCTCCCTTTCTTTTAGCTGGTAATTAATCAGTCATTCAGTCGGACCTCATTCTTCCTTAATACTTATCACATCATGCTCGTAATCTTAGCAACTCATCAACTCACATTCTACTCCTCCTCTCGTACAGATACCATTACAACTCACCCCTACACTCCATCACAATCCCCTTCAGTAGTTGCCGATTATACACCCACCACCCAGCCTTACCTCCCCCCTACCTCAACATCCGCCTCACCAACCGCTCTCCATGCTAAAGTAGACCTTGAACAAACTCTTGGTTCGTCTCATCCCTCAGATTTCCCTCCTCAAGTTACCGGTCCCTTGGCAGCCTCTGCTGCTAGCATTAGCCACACCCAACCCCAGCATCAGTCCCAACCCTACCACTTACCATCCGATAAGGGATCCGGGGTGCCACGAGGGCCTAGTCAGGCTTCGGATGAAACCCTGCAACAGCTGCCGTTGCTCAACCCTGTGTCTGCCATACTGCCTGGCTCAATGTGGTGTAGGTGATCTTGGGGAAGTCTGAAGTAGTTTTAGATACAGTACCATTACTTTAATATCTAATGGGAGCAGATCAATGTAATTATTACTCATGGTTGTTTTTTCTTTCCAGCAGTTCCACAGCAAAACCAAATGCAAAATACACCAGCTGCTGTCCAACAACAGGTATTTGTGCTTTTCTGCAATCAGCTTGTCATGATTGAGGAGATCAGGTAATGTTGCTTTTTTTAAATCTCTTCCATATCTTCTCAAAAGGTGACATTTTCAGCAGACAGTCTGCAGCAGCTGCTTCTACAACAGCAGGTAAGGAACATAAATCTCTCTATTTGCAGATTTATTAAAATGTACACACACATTTATCACCTTGTTTATTCTTGACTTGCTTACTCTTCTCCTCAAGATGATGCAGTCTCAGTTGCTGGGTCTAGGTTGTGTCGTGGATGCAGGGGCCCTGCAGAGACACAAAGAGAAAGAGCAGCAACCTGGAGACTATCAAACTTTACAGACTCGAATCATCCAGCTGGAGGGACAGGTACATTAATGCTGTTGTAGCGATGAGAAGGAAACAATAAGAACTGTATGTCTGCTGTATTTTCAGGGAGGAATAATAACCTTCCCTCCATGTACCTGTGCAGCCTGAGACTCCTGTGTGTTATTGTCTAGGTGAAGACCCTGCAGCTGGAGCGAGACCAAAGCCAGATGTTGCTAGAAAATGTCCAGCAGCGGCATAAACAGGATATGGAGCTCATGGAAAAAACACACAAGTATTAAGACCACACACACTCTGCAGTGGAAATGTGCAGCTTGTGTCTACATGTTCACCATATATTATGCATAATTCCCTACACTTCAAGCAGCTTATGTTTGTCTGTATGCTTAACACATACTGTAAGCATTTCTGTGCACGTCCAGGGCTCGAGTGAAGCTGCTTGAGGAATCAGCAGCCCAGAGGGACACGCAAGCGCGGCAGGAGTGTGAAGACCTAATGGAACGCCTGGCTGCGGTAACACGATTGGCTGAGCAGGAACGCACAGAGCTGCAGGCTCAGTACCAGCGCAAACTGGCCCAGGCCCAGCAAGACAGGGACCGCGAGGTGGAGAGACTCAGAGACCTTCAGAGGTACACCAGGAAAACATTTTCAATAGTAATAGAGTCGTTCTATAACATTTATTCAACAGTACTGACCAGAAATATTTCATTAAAGTAATATACATACAAAAGAGTAAAAACAGGATGAAGCAAGAAACTAAAGTTCCTTAAGAACCAAACAACACAGCAACATAACAATCAGTAAAGTTACTTACTAAAGTTACTACTTTGTTGTGTCAAAATTAACAAAAAAATATCATAACCTGTTTTGGACTATTCTACAGTCTTTATATTATATCAGGCAGCTTAATGTTTCCACACATTAGGGGTTTGATTCAAGGTTAATTAAATTATTGAAATAAGTCAGAAGTCCCAGATTGAGCATATTATATTTTATGATAAATGAATGACATTAAAGTTGACCATATATTCGTCCTTCTTTGCCATCTAGGAAATCTATCTTGGAGATGAAGAAGGACCACGAGGACCAGGTCCAGAGACTGAAGAAACTAAAGGATGAAGAGATTGATGCGGTTACAAGCGCAACATCTCAGACCAGGTAAGATGTTATCAAAAGACATTATTATTTTATAGTCCTTTTATACATGTTATGCTTATGATATAAAGCATGTAGCCAGATCAAACAATTGTAGAGTGTTTCTATTCTACTTCAACTGTGAGTTTGGAATTTTTTTATAGCTAATTTTCAGAGGATTTCAGAGATTTTGGAAATATCTACAGGTCTGTCTATGGTTTTTGTCCAGGTCTCTTACAGTGGTGATTGAACAGATGGAGCAGTTCTCCTCTCGGCTTGGAGAGCTTTCTTCCCGGGTGGAGAGCACACATGAACACTCGGCTCACGGCCTGGAGCAGGGAGCACGGCACAGAGACGAGCAGCTTCGAAGTAACTAACACACACACATTCATGCAAACACTTTGTGCAAATAGGTCAGGATACAAGTTGTCTAATAGCATGCTGTAGTTGGCATCACATTGCAAGTGGGTTAAGGTCATTCTCTAATGTTTCAGTAATGCAGGACCGTCTGGCCCAGCAGCAAAAAGCCATGGCGGAGGAGAGAGCTTACCTCAAGGAAATCATTTCCAGGATGGACACTCAGCTCAATGAGCAGCAGAGACAGCTTGAGAAGGTCAGGGTGATATCAGGCTCTGAAAATAGACTTTTAGGACTTTAGGATACCTACATTTGCTTTGACATTAGCAGTACAGCACAAGTGCAGACATAAAATTAAAAGTGATGCTTTTCCCCTCAAAGACTGATGCCATTATTTGTATGCCTCAGGAACGCTGGAAGATGACAGCAGAGCAGGCCAAGGCAGAGTCTACCCAAAGAGGCCTGGAGGACGAGCGACGTGCCCTCAGCATGCAGATCAACATGGAAAGAGAGGAGCTGGAAAGAGCCAAGGTGAGGCCAATCATGGTGGTGAACAAGTGCTCTCTCTTGAGTCTTAGTTTACCTTACCTCTCCTGTCTGTCTCTTTGTTTCCATCAGAGTGCATTACTGGAGGAGCAGAAGTCAGTGATGCAGCATTGTGCAGAGGAGAGGAGGAAGCTGGCAGCTGAGTGGGCCCACTTCCATGCCCTGGAGAAGCAGAGGCATGAGAGGGCCGAGCGGGAGGTCAGCAGTCTCTTGGAGAAGAGAGAGGGCTCCATCATCAGTCTGGCACAGGTCAGCTTCACCACACAGAGAACAGAGATATTGGTTTTGACAGTCTTTCTTTGCGGATTTACTCATTTAAGTGCTACTTTGTTATCTTTAAAGTAGGGTTAGGTTCACATCACTAAATATAATGGCATATATTCAGTCAAATTTTCAAAGCTCTCCCCCAAAGGACAAAATAAATGTAATTTTGTCTCTGTGTCTGTTGTAGGAACAAGCTGACCTAAAGCTTCACACTGCAGAGCTGAAACAAAAGCAGATGTCTGTGGCACAGGAGAGGGAGACTCTGGAAAGACTAAGAGAAGAACTGGACAGAGAGAAAGAGAGAATAAGCAGCACGGCCTTGAGACTCAAGACACGAGCCCAAGAGGTGGAGGCCTTTAGCAAGGTAAATATACACCACACAGACTCCTACATACATACATACATACATAACGTAGATTTAACAACACGTAACATTTGACCACTCTTTGTTCTTTGCAGCTTGCTGCAGAGAAGCACGAGGACGGAGAACGAGCCTTGCAGGAGGCAAAACGTGTGGAGGTTGAGCACGAGGCAAGACTCAGAAATATCCATACGCAGACCGAGCGGCTGAGGCAGCAAGAACAACGGATACTTCAGGTGTGTGTCACTGAGACAGCTGACCCTTCAGATTGGGCTTCTATTTTACTAAAAATATGAAAAGCACATTACAACGGTAACTGTGTGGTTGTTATTAAACACTTGTTACAGGAGCAGATGCGGTTAAATCATCTGCAGAAGGAGACAGAGAGACCTAGACAAGACACTACAATTTCCTCTTTACCACAAATGATTCCACCCGTGTTACCAGGTGAAGTTAATTCTAGTTATTGAAACTCTCATTAATAAAAAAAGCTACTCATACAAAATAAACCCATTGAATGTTAAGTGAATAACAAGGTTTTGTTCTTTTTATCTGTAGATGCAGGTTCAGTGTCACCGAACCTTGAGCTGGCATCAACCTTGAATATTCCCCCTCCTATTTCATTTGCCAACCCTCAGGCCATGGCTCTTCAGGCTAGTCTGGCTCTGTGGAAGTACACTGCAGAAAGGGTAAGGTAACCTAACGGAGACACGCTTGTTCTGAAGCTGTAGGAAAGCTTAGTCACATTGTAACTTCATGTTCTGATTTAAAAAATGGGATCCACAGAAGTCCCATGATAGTTTTGATTTGCACATGACCCACTGAAGGTAGCAAACCTTCAAAAAGCAGCTCTAGTTCAGGTCAGTTTATTAACCATGTTTTGGAATAAATTATAGGACATCTGAATAGTTAAACTGAAACCATTTCTACAAGTTAACAGTGAAAGGGATTCAAATACACAACAGATTGCTTTTTGTTAGACTTAGGATTTCAAATTTAAAAAATAAGAGATAGAAATAGGTTGGTACTGTAAAGGATTTTAATGCTTATATGAAACACATGGCTCAACCCACCATCAGCTTTCCAACACATTCAGTTTGTTACAAGAATCTTCTGGCAGAAGCTTAACATTTCAAAACTATTTTCTTGAAACATTTAAAAAAAAAAAAAAAGTTATGTTTCTGTTCCTCATTACAGGACCATGAATACCTCCAAGAAGAGCAGATCTTCTTGGAGAATTTGAAGAAGAAATCTTACAGATCATCTTTCAACACCGATTGACCAAGACACGCTGGGTGCTCCCCAGTAGGATCCCTGTTACTTTTCATGTGCTTGAATTTTATACAACACCTTAATTTTATTAAACATGTTTTAGATGAAACACGTTCATTCATTTGATACATTTATGGTGCCAGACTTCTTGATCATTCCCGGGTCGGTGTTGTGTCCACTTCACTGATTTCATCTGCAAGTAAAAATAAGGGAGATTAGACTAACAATAATGTAACAACTACAGTAAGCCAAAGCTATATTGATCATGTATCTCCAGTCAAGCCTCAGGTTACCATAACTCAACACTTAAGTTCAGACAGGGATAACTTTTATCATCACTGGCTTGACTTTAATTATCAAGTGTGAGCCTTGCAGCATTTACCTGTTCAACTCATCTCAGCACCAACATGTGTCGTCTAGTGGTCTTGCTCTGCAGATGTCAAGACCTATAGGGGAGATATTTTACATCTACATCATTAAGTGGTCAGATGAGTCACACCAAAAAAAAAAAAAAAAAGTTGGACAATATTTCTCAGAACAGCTATTGCCATCGTCAGTTATCGCATCAGACGGCACTTCCTATGCAGCAGTTTTCATCAGTGAATCAGTGGCAACGTGGATCAAGAGAAGCAGGGTGGTACAAACCTTTTCACCGTGCTTAGTCCCTTTGGTAGTCGGTGCCAAACGGGGACAGGAGAACCATGAACCTGCAATTAACACATTTCATTAGTGATAGTCAATCAGCAGCAGGTCAGCGTGCACAAGTCACCTGCAAAGTCAGATACCATTGCTGTCCACACTGTTTTTTCAGACAGGGATAACAAACTCATCACATGTGCTGCAGAGCGTGAGGAACAGAAGATAGCACACCAGTTCTAGTCAGATTTACCTTTCAGTGCGGTGATGAAGCATAGCCTTTGTTGGCAGCAAGAGGAGTCCAATTCCACATCAGACAAAGATTCCTGTAAAGACAGAATATATTAAGTAAATCATACATTACAGACATTAGCTGGTGACCAAAGGAAGGCCACGTTACTGTTAGCCTGGCAGAATACACGATTAAATTAATTCATTATCTAAACTTGTAAAGGGTTAGTCATGTTATTCTAGTGCCAGTGAACTTAATGCATGTTCTGGTTGTCCACAGCAGCAACTTTAATGTCACATTTCTATTCTTTTCCCCTACATGGTCTTACACGTGTTAGCCTAACGTAAGGAGAGCTAGCAGGCTAACAGGCTAATACAGTTCAAATTAAACCGCTTCTACACAACTAATCCTCAAACAATTACCTGTTCACGGCGGCTCGTCTACCAGAAACTCCATATTTGTAGATAAATGCATCACAAAAGGTGAAAACTTCATGCTGGAGTTTAGAGCCTCCCAGTGCGACTCTACTGTACCGCCAACGGAGGAGATCGAGACAGGAAATCTCGCGTGATAACTTTTTATACGCTGTAAACGTCACATCCCACGTGACTACTGAGTGGGTGTGGTAAAAGTTCAACTTGTATTTTTTATTTGCTTGAGAGAAAAAAAAAGAAAAAAAAACCCTACTATAACTATATAGATTTTATGCTAATTAAACTATCATTTAACAATGAATATAAATAATTCTAAAAACTTAAACATATGCTTTCACATTTTGTTGTTATATTGTTTTACATGAACAAATAGCCTATAGAGAACAATGTTAATAATTGGTTTGCTGGTTATATAAAGGTGTCATAACTACAGTCAAACCTCCAGATGCACTGACCTGAGTCCTGTCATAAGAAAAACACCTGTGCTGAAATAAATCCCATGTTCTCATTCAAAAAAACAACACAATGTAATCATATAAACTTTTCTACAGATTGAAAACAACCATTTTATTCCGCCTTAACCTCGAATCATAACAAATGCCATAATAAGACGTCAGATATGTGTAGGCCTATCAAAAAGCAAAAAATAGCTCATATAGACATGAAACTGTAGAGGAAATTTCGGAGTGAGCCTGTTTACTTCAGTGCTTCAATTTTGATTTACAGTGAATGGATTCGTCTGCTTTTGGTTGTGAGAAATACTTGGCACAATGTCTAATTGATCAGTTAATATGTATATGTGGTTGCTATACTTGGTGAATTGCTCTCTATATAATTGTAAACAGCCTATAAACACAGGATGGGAATTTAAACTATTTGGTGGTTCAAATATTGTGGATTAACTGGTTTAACCAGACCTGTCATGTTAGAGGGAGCAGGAAGGGTTCACCAGGAGCACTTGGAGAGAGGACTGCTCTCTCCTCCGGCTCCATCACTGCCATTCCCTCTTTCAGTCACTAGGGAGAGACTCTGAACTAGGAAAGCTGCTTTTATCACACTCACAGGGTCCCACAGCACAGCAGGCTGATCGGATCAGAGTCTGCACCGCACCGCCATCCGCACACCGGCCTGCGGGACGCGTCGCACTCTCCGTCCGGGATGGAGAAAGGCGCCTCTGAACCGGACCCGTCCCACCAGCGGAACGGGGTCGTGGGCGTGCTGTACGGGGAGTTCACCGACACGCTCAACGACAGAGTCCGGTACTCGGTGAGCTTGACGGAGAGCGCCCTGACCATCCAGATGATCTCCTCGTCACCCGGCCGGACTAAGGTGGTTTTTAACTTGACCGACTGTGTCGGCTGCCGGGCGTACAGAGGGCCGGACAGCGCGGACGTCGGAGCTTACTTTACCGCCTATTTCTACCCGTTCAAGAGGCGCTGGATGAGCGCCGGAGTGGCCCGGCAGAGAGTGGAGCAGTGCTTTCGGGTCGCGCTGGTCCAGGACCCGCTCGCCAACCTCCAGGAGGCTGAGAGGTGGGCTCGTGCCATCAGAGATGCCTCCGCGCGGCAGGCGCCCCGGAGAGACGGTGAGCACCGTGGGGGACGTGGGTCATCGAGGAGGCGGAAAGATTTACATGCAACTTTATATGATGACAACTACAGGCCTGCATGTAACAAAAGGAGAAATATAAATATGATAAAGTACCTCAAAGTGTAGCTACATTAAGCTCTGAGTTCAGTGGCACCTGAATATAGTCCATACAGTGATTGCACTTTTCTTTATGTATGACAGAAGTCTTGTAAAGTTAACTTGAAGGGTAACCTGTAAGTAGGCTGATCTCACTCTCAGGAAGTCCCACTTGATGCCCCACAGTACACCTTCCTGCTGCCAAAAACAGGTTTGGAGGGTTGGGTGAGCGGGGGTTTGCACACATTCCTCTCAGTAACCTGCTCTACCTGCCCTGAAAGGTGAGCCAGCAGCCAGCAGCAACTGACAGCTCCCTCATTCATTCAAACAGCCTACATGAGGGTGACGAATCTGGATCTGGAGCCTGCTGTAAAGGCGCGCACACACACACACACACACACACACACACAAACTGATCACTTAAGTAGTTAGATTTTATACTGGTCCTATGTCAGGAGAGAGTGTACTCGCTGCTCAGGCTTCATTATTCCTGCTCAGTGAATTCCCACTGAGGCTTTATTGTTGATGGGTGGGGGGAAAAAATCACATCAAAACAAAGCTTGTTTATCATCCTGCTTTGCAGCAGCTACGTCTAATTAGGTCTCATCATGTCTCGCTCTGTTTAAAAGACAGACTGTCCTCAGATTCCTTTGTCTTACAATCTCATTAGCTTATCCGTCCTGGTACACAATGAGACAGTAATTAATGCGAATGCAATATGAGTGTTTATGCAGCTAATTCATTCAGTCATTTGGGAGGGAGGGGTGACACTTGCTGAGGAGGAGAAAGAGCTGTTTGGGTCCCAAACTGTGGATTCTGTTTATCATTAGAGAGCAAATTCTGAATTGGCTCTGTCAGGTCAGGTAATATCCTTTTTTTTTCCTCACGTAGAAACATTTAACTGTTTAAAATATAAAGCAGGCGTGCACATCTGGGCAGCCAGAGCACATCAAAGTGGAAGCGGATATTTGACCTGACAGTGACGAATTAGGAATGTTGGTTGTCGTGTTGTATGTGGGCAGGATAAGGAATGAGGTTATCCTCCTGGTAGCAGCCTCCAGGTGTACACTGCAAACACAGAGACTGGGCTCTGTGTGATGAGGAGGAACATCCAGCCTCCCTCTGCTCTGCAGCCAGCAGGAGTTTGGGTTTCAGCCCTGAATGCTAGGTAGGCAGGCAGATGGTAACCTGAGAGGTAACTGGGCAGCTCCCCCCCCACCACCACCAGCTCCTGGCCCCCTGTCACTGTCCTCTTACTGGACTCATCAAAGAGCTCCAGCTTGGGAGGTTTTCAAATCACACATACTAATGAACCAGATCAGCATCCAACAGCATCGTGTTGGTCTCTCATCCCAGATTTTATTTTTTTTGTAGCCTCTTTTGAACACAGCGTCTCAGTGATGATGCGATCATATCATTAATTTATAAGCTTGTTTTAGCGTTCCAGATCCAGGCCAGCCAATAATACAGTATTTAACAGAATATATTATGTCGTTTAAATGAGTAATGTTGTGGTAATAGATGCAGCAGAATACCGCCTTGTGATAGAGGGTGTGTGAAAGTCAGTGTGGGTCTCTAATCCCTTATATTTACCCCCTAAGTTAATTGCATGTCATCTCATCTGGCATTGCAGATGGAAAGGTTGGATTAAAAGTCCAACTGCGGCACAAGATTGGTATTTAGTCAGAGAGCTATCACTGTGGCACACTTTCACTGTGGTATAAAGTGGATAAACACTGAATTTAATATGCCTTAATACACTTTACAAGGAGGTTGTAACTCTACTAACTTTAGAATTTAGTCTATCGCAGCGATGTTCTCACAGGCTTTATTCTCACTGCAGGTTCATTGGAATGAATGAGCCGTAAATAATGAAGTGCATACTCTATGATACAGTCCTGCACACGCTAATGGTCTTCTACAATATTTCCCCTGCTTAGAAGATCCACAGTGAGATAGCATGCAAGGGAATGAGATGATGGTTACTTACTTTGACTTTTTCTACCACTGGCTGCCTTTATTGCTACTGGCTGTATCCTTTTCTGCTCTTCAAGCAGCTGGTAGGAGGCCAGTTACAGATTTAACATTTATACATTGTAGAGTTTTTGTAGCAGTGTTATGATGGCATTGTGCATTGTCTTGGTTTTTCCAAAACTTCTGTGCCTGACCCACAAAATGTGCAAAGTCCTTCAAGCTACAATTCCAGCGCAAATGTGAGTATTTGTGTGTCGGGGGTAACAACTTGGAGCGTGCAGAAGAGAGGATAGGGAGCTGCGGTTTGCTCAGTTCCCACAAAAACGACTGTTTTCAGCAGCCGCAGGGTCAGGTGTGTGCGTGTGTGTCAGTGTGTGATCTCTCCTCCCCGAGGCCGTCGGCTTCCTCGGTGAAGGAGAGCTTAAAATGCGTCACCAGACGACCTCTCACCCCGTCCAGCATCTCGGTCCCTCCGGGGGCCTTCATCCTCTACTCTGTGACATGCAGCTGTGATGGCCTGTCAGCACCACAGCCCTCCTCCTCCCCTGCCGCCTTGTGATGCCTCAGTGGGCTGTTGTGTTTATGCTCCCTGGACCTCTTCCCCTCCTCTCTCCAGCAAACACTCACCCAACCTTGGAATGCAGCTTGTTTGCAGACACGATCAGTCTGGATATAGAGTTACTCCTGAACAAGACAGCTTTCAGTGAATAACCCACATATTTGTTTTTGCTCCAAGATTTCTTGAATGGTGTCATGGTTGAACAAATCCCACCTGTGCTGCAGTTTGAGAAACTCAAGGTATATTGCGTCTTTATTTAGTACTTTGCACCAATCAGAATACACTCGTGGCAACCAGACGATAACGTTTCTCTGTCATCTTGGTGCTTGTTAGCGCTGGCACATTGTCACACCCTGCCTGCCTGTCGCCTGGCTCCCTGTGTGTATGTTTATCCACTTGTAACTGTGAAACACACACACTGCAGTTGAAAGTTTGCTTGCCGGTGTGACGGGCCGGATCTGCCCGCAGGTATCTGACTTCACATCACAGACAGATTTCACATTCACCCTCATTCCCCCTGCATCTGCCTTCCTGTCACACACACACACACACACACACACACACACACACACACACACACACACACACACACACACACACACACAGTTCAGGAGGATTGTCTGAGCTATTTTTGGAGACTTTTTAGGCTTGTGACCCCTTAAAACAATGCAATGTGTGTGTGACCCCTTATTGGTGGTTGCATATGTCAACTAGCTGGTTTTTTTTTCTTCAAAAGCCTGAAGATGAATAATTAATCAATAATTCACTAAAATAGTAGCAGTGTAAAGTAGCAGTGTTTTGTCTGCTTCCTGTCCCGTTAATAATCTTGTGACCCCTTATTGTTGCCCCGACCCACGCCACTGTTTGACAGAGCTCATTAAAGAGGAAACATTTGCTCTTTGACTTTATATGCAGTTATAAACTCCTGTATAAAGTATTAAAGGATTGCCTATATACTTTACTGTGTGAGAATAATGGTATATAATATATATGTAATTTAATAATTTTGTGTAATATTTACACACAGGTAGCTACAGCTAATGCAGTCTAACACCACAGTCCTGCAATAATCCTCCCTCCATGAAGGTTATAATGTTCAAGTTGAAACTGCTTTAGAGTCACGCTGATTTAACTCAGGCTGTCATTTGTGGTGCAGTTATTGCATTATGCTGAGAGGTCTTTCTAATATTTTGTCAACTCCATTTTCATCAATATGAATTTTTACCAGTGGATGGATTAGAAATATATCTCAGTCACTTTATGAAGGCTGTATTTATAGTAAGGCCATATTTCTAATAAATGTACCTCATAAACTTGCGACTGATTCATAATCAGCATTTCATAGTCAGTCATCATGACAGATAAATGAATCAGAACATTTCCATAAAATGTATAAAATGCAACCTTGTAATATAAGTGATGTATAAATACTGCTTGTGCCAGTGCTTTCAAAACTCTCTCATCTTAATTTACATTTTTTATATCGGGTTACATTACATTGCAAGTTAGGATTATTTTCACCATCGATAATTACTTAATAAATTACTGTCACACCTTTCTATTACCTGAGGAAATGTCTTCAGATTGCTTGTGTTGTTTGACTTAAACTCCAAAATCTGAAGCTACTGAGTTTGTTACCAAAAAAAAATTCTCACATCTTAAAAAAAGAAAGCTTTTTTGCCTGAATACTGACATTCACTGATTATTAAAATAGATGACAATATGTAAAACCATGTCCTAAACTGTGATTATGTTTCTTAATTACAATAGACAAACAGACAGAATTTGCACCTTCCAAGTGATTTAAATCAACAGAGTTATTAAGTAGATTCCCTTGCGTGACAAGTGATTTGAGTGGAGCCCCTTCAGAGTAAAACTGTAGTATGATAATCAGAGCAGCTTTTATTATTCATCATTCTGTTTGAATTGCTGAAAAAGAAATGTAGAGATGTGTGCAGTGATTCAGAGGTCTGGAGCCATGCAGGCTAATGAAGACAAGACATAAAAAAAACAAGGGTATGCCATTCAGCTCAGCACACTTGAGTGCAAAACCTGAATCTAAAGGTCTTTCACTGCCAGTTTCCGCTATATTCTGGAAGTGCAGAGAGGACCATTTCTGTCTGAAAGCCACACTGTGCTCTGATACAAGTAAAAAAAAAAACAATGGTTACCCTGTGTGGGTGAATGGAGGCAGAGTTTGGCATGTGCCTGTGTGTTTTTGCACTCTCTCCTCATCCTTCCTGGTGGGTTCGCACCTCTCTCTGAGATATTTTTGTACCTCCGCCGTGTCCTATCATCACGGGCCAAATGAGGTAGAGGCTGGCAGCAGCAGCAGAGGTGCACCGCAGATCACAGTACAGGAAATTGAGGCTCCGAACTGTTAGGAAGATAATCACGCAGCCAGATGTTATTTTATTATCTTACTGAATATCTCCTGATTCATTTGCAATATGAGCAAGATGTGCTCACATTTTGTGCTTCTGGTAATTGTGTCTGCCTGTTAGCAAAGTCAGCATCACCTGCAGCCAAATAATTATGGTGGAAATTGACACGGAAGTTTCTGTCCTCTCCAAACCCCCGAAATGGATTTTATTTTTTGTCCTTTCTGACTCATTTGATATGGTCTCTGGTGAGTCTGTGTCCGCTTTAAAGGTCAAGGGCATCAGCTGACAAATCTTTATCCCTGCAGTCACTTTAGAAAGCTACAAACCCTTTTAGTGGCAGCCTGTATTACAATGAAATGGCTAAACCTGATCTTGCCACATAATTCAAAATTAATGGGAACTTTATGAAGTAGAACAAATAACTCATTAAGTAATAGCTATTAATTCTAAGAGATACTTTAAGATCCATTACATTAGAACCATTTGGTTTTAGTCGACCTACTGAACCACTTTGCTACAGCTGCTCGCATAGCTCACATAAATTTGAACTCCACAGGCGTTTTTTAATCAATACTCCAAAATGTAAAGCTGTCTCAAAAACAGACACATACCTTTGATTTGTCACTTTTTTTTATCCATTTGTTAACTGAAATCTAACTTAGTGGCTTTCCTTTGATTTCTAATAATTACACTTTTAATCTGCATAACCGCAGTTGAATGCTGTTCTGCATGAGTCAACCCCTTGGTAATGAAGTGTAGTCACTCTATTACTCTGTCTTTCCTCAAGAGATACAAGCAACAGGAGGATTTCCTCATGGGGATTAATAAAATGTCATAGAATTGCTATTAATAATTGGTATGAGCAGCATCCGTAAGCCCTCTCCCCTTGAACAAATCAGCACGTCACATTAACATTAGATCGTCTACCTGAACGCTGTCGCAGCCTATGACTTTACTGCCTAATGCTCTTTTTTCCCCCGAGGGACGAGCCTGTCCTTATGCGCTCTTTCAAATATTTGATCATGCATAACTAGACCTCCTCTTGTCCTCTTGCTTCATCTTCGTCCTTTCCCCCCGCTTACATCCACCTCTATCTGTCTGTCTCAGGTGTGGTGTACATGGAGGTGCGTCGGCCTTGCAGAGTCATGATACTGGTGAACCCTCTCAGTGGTCGCGGCCAGGCTCTCCAGCTCTTTACCGGCCACATACAAGGCATGCTCACTGAGGCCGCTGTTCCCTACACACTCGTCATCACAGGTCAGTAGCATACGCACACCTACAGTCCTTTATTATCCATGCATTTAGCTGGCACTCCTGTAAAGGTCAACCTGACATGAAATAAAGGGATTAAACCTTCACAGAATAAACACACTTTTATTGTCTGCAGCAGTTATGATTATTATTATGTTGCATTATGTGTGTAATCACAAATTCACAAGCCACATGTTAAGCATGTATCATGTGCACACACACACATACACAACTGCGAACACTCGGGCACATGTACTATGATACTCCACATTCTGTGTGAGTTGCTGGTGGCTTTTTGTGACCTTAAACAGTGTCATGTGTTAGTTACTGTCATCAGAGGCTCTGAACTCTAAGTGACCCCTCTCTGACTAAAAACGAGCAGCTGGAAAAAAGGGATAGGCGAGTTTTAACGCCAAAAGGAAAAACATGCACATTGCATCATTTAGCCTTTGAGCTTTCACCGACCATCCACTCCAACAACCGGCCCCAGTTGGACAGGACCAGCAGTTTGACAGGTAAGGATTAGCTGTCTCTTCAGCAGCATCGACTTGACAGTGCATCAGCTGAATCTCTGATGGAGCTCAAAGTGAGACGGAATATGACAGCAAAGACAGAGGAGAAGGAGGGAGAAACTATGTTTGTGTGTGTGTTTGTTCAGATGCACATGCGGGCTCTTTGTGCCGACTCCTGGGGCTTAAAGGAAGGTCAGCAGCTGGATGGTGATGAAAAAAGACAGAGTAATTACGGCTGTTGACCCAAGCCATAGAGGAATGGAGCAGAACAGAACAGAGGGGGGAGATTACGGGTCGCTGAGGGCCTTCAGTGGTGGGTAACGGTAGTAACAAGTGACTATGAGTGGATTAAGAGGCACAACCCTTTTTCCCCAGCATGCATCTCCTTGATGAATGTATCACACAGCCTTTGCTCGAGGAAGGACAAGTTCCAATGGAGACGCCTCTTGTGTCAGCTTGTACCTTTTACATACTGTATGAAGCATCCAGTGTACCGAGCTTTATCTTTACCCTGGTTAACCTCAGAAGAAGGCAGTAGAGTGCGACGCAAGGAGGAAAATGCTGCATTTGAAGTGAAACAACTTTTCAAGCGTGTATTTATGCGTTGCCTAAACACGGTGTAATTATCAGCCACAATCTGTGCAGCTCAAAGAGGATTCGGCAGTTGGATTGTATGAAAACAATGAGCCGCCCCCGTCTCCAGGTCTAGGTTGTGTGTTTGGCATTGACCCCTTGAATAAGGAAGTGGCTGTAAAGCATCAGCTGGAGCCTCGGCAGGTATCTGAAGTGCTGAGTCAGCTGTGCAGTGCAGTTACTCCCTCTGCCTCTGTCTGTCAACACAGCACTGCATCACCGCCTCCAGCCACCCCAGCACATAGCAAACAAACAGCAGCAACATGGGGAGCACCGGGCGGGGAGGGGGGGGAGAGAGGCCCAGGAGGGTGAAGGGGGACAGGTAGAGGTTGAGCAAAGTGAAAGGGAACGAGAGGATAGTTGTTTTTATTTCACTTCTGTCCTCGATCAATACTTCAAGCTGAAGCGGAAAAATATTTCCTTCAGGATGGCAGTGCATCAATACCGGCTTACTTCTTTGTTGTCTGCCTCCCCCCGCATCTCGTTCTCTATAAAGCCGTCTCTTCCACACACACACACACACACACACACACACACACACACACACACACATACACACACTACACTGGGGAGTCTCGACTGGTAGACTTTAATGCTAGCGGGATGAGCCCACAGAGACCCCCTGCAGAGGGACCCACTCAAGGACGCTGCCAATAAAACTAGGCTGAACAAATAGCTCAGCCCTCTGCCAGGCATTAACCAACACTTACATGTGCACACACACACTGAACACTCGCATGCATCCAGTGAATGCACATACACACATGCAGATATGTGACAGTCACAGATGTTTGCAGGGTGGCTAAGCTGCCTTGGAGCTGTTGAGTAGCCACTGGATGGGCTAATGTGATGTGGGGGAAATTGAATCTCTTTTCTGCCTAATCTCCCTGATCCTACCCCAGAGGCTGGCGATGATGGCAACGTGTCTCTTTCTCTGCCCTTGCCCTTGTTTTTATTTTTCCTCCAGTTTGTCCTACACTTTGCCACAATTTGTGTCTCTTTTGTTTCTCTCACTCACCCTGTCTTTCTCTTCAGAGCACCAGAACCACGCGCGGGAGCTGGTGAAGAAGGCGGACCTGTCACAATGTGACGCCCTGGTTATCATGTCTGGAGATGGGCTGCTGTTTGAGGTGCTTTGACTTTACCCTTGTATCCTATTATGGTTTCATAATGATGTGAGTCAGTATAAAGGATTTGAAATGCCTAGATAAAAACAAATCAAATAAAGAACAAAGAAATGAAATGCATTACATTCTGTGATATATATTTCCTTTGTGTTCACTGTGTCATAAATAAATAAACAAAAACATGTTAAAAGAACAATCTAGCTTCTTATAACTACTGCCAGTCAATCACAAATGTAACTGGTTAATAGAAGTTGCTCACAGGAAAGTGATTTAACGAGAAACCTGCAGAGTGAGCAGAGAAACACAGCCGGGGTCATCACAGCTGTCTGTTTGTCCATTTTGGCATTCATGATACATCTACTGACATTTGCATTTGGCATGGTGCTATCTTCTGGACACACTGAATTGCAATATACCTCTTCACTCTGTTTTAGGAAAAAAAGCTAAATAATTGTACTTGTGTGTTTAATTTGTGTTTTTCTATCAAGTTATGACATATACTGTATATATAAAGGAAATGCATAGAACAGTGTGAATTGTGTTTCACCTTATTTCTTTGATTTGTTTTCATTTGGGCCTTTCAAAATCCTTCACAGATTAAACTGATGTAAACCCTCTCATTCCTGTTTCTATTCATAGTACTTTTCAGAATAGGCCTGTAAAATTTTAATTTGCGCTTAGAGATGACAAAAGAGCCTGGTACCTAAAATGTTCACAGTCATTGATTAATAGCCTTATTTTTGTTCTGTAGATGGTTCCCTCTTTTTAGTTTTTTTGATAGGATTTGTGGACGATATTTAAAACAAATACCAACCTTTGTGTGGTTGCTTTTCTACTCAGCACTGTTCTGTTTTATGAATGTATAGATCTTCAGCCAGGGTGGCCAGGTTCCCTTGACACGGAATAGCTGCATCAAAGAAACACATTCTATCATAACCTTTGGTCACACACAGACTACTAAAGAGTACTTTCTATGTAGGACCATGATCTGATTCTGTTTTTTTGAATTTGTTCTTGTTCATTCAGGTGATAAATGGCCTGATGGAGCGCGAGGACTGGCAAGAGGCCATCCAGACCCCTCTGGGTATTCTACCAGGTGGCTCAGGCAATGCCCTGGCTGCCTCTGTCCACCACTACTCACAGTGAGTCTGTCCATTAATGAGTCATTTAAATGCATGGACCAACAGAAGAAAAGAAGAGCAAAGAAGAACCTTCCTCAGTCTAAAAACGAACCATTTATCTCCTTTCTGTGTAATTATGCCAAAGGCTGACTGGGTACATCATCCCTCAGGAGGGAGGAGAAACAGTGGAGCAGACAGGAACTGCTTTGCTGTGTAGCAGAGGTCATTTCAGGCTGCTGATAACTCTCATAGGATTGATGTAATGGGTTTAGAAACTTGCACATTATGAGTGATTATGGTCCAGAGTGCAGCTGTGGAACCGGTCGACCCAGCACGTTCAATATATTATCTCCATCTGCTGGCGGGCTGTGGGCACAACATCAGTGGAAAAAAACAGAAATATATTTGTCACCCCAGAATACTGGGATCATGAGTTCCAGTGAGTCAATAAATCAGAGATGGATTAGGTATAGGGGAAGAAAACTCTATTTTTGGCCATGCTAGGAGGAAAAAAAAATGCTACAGCTAATGTCATTAGGAGAATTTGACATTTGTGTTAATGGATTGCCGCTGTATTTCAAAGCCTCAGTACAGCCTCACAGACACTCTTGCTAATTCCAATTTTACTCAGGAAATGCACAATTTCTCATATTCTCATATGATATTTAGCCGTGGAAATGATGGCACAACCATTGTCTAGATCTTATTTATGAGCTTATACTGAGAAATACAGTAAATATATATTCTGACTTTTTATTGCGTTACAACACTAATTCATAACACTCTCATGTGATGTTGTGTCAGGCTATGATTGTAACTCTTGATCTGTGTAACAATCTCCCAGGTCGCCTCCAGCGTGGAACGAGGAGCTGCTACTGAGCTGTGGTTTCATGCTGTGCAAAGGTCTGGTAGGCTCTCTGGACCTGGTGTCGATCCACCTGGCCTCTCGGCAGCGCCTCTTCTCCTTCCTCTCCCTGGCTTGGGGCTTTGTGGCCGACGTCGACATCGAGAGCGAGAAGTACCGCCATGTGGGTGCAATCCGCTTCCTGATGGGCACCCTGGTGCGTCTGGCCTCCCTGCGAGTCTATCAAGGCAGGTTAGCATATCTGCCCATTAATGAGGAGCCAAAACTTCCAAAAGGGAGCATCAAGGCTAACCACCCTCCCTCCACACCTCAGCACCCGTCACTCTGCGCCTCCCTTCCCTGTCGGCTCATCCCCAACACCTCTCCAAACCAGAACTCCCGCCACAATCACACCAGCACCAATTCCAACCACAACACCATCACCAACTCCTCCAACAATGCGATCACCACCAAGAGACCTGAGACCCAGAGTGATGGCAAAAGCAGAGCCCCGGTGGACTCTCTGCTTCCTGGCCTGGACCAGCCAGTCCCAGAGAGCTGGACTGTGGTCAAGGAGGAGGAATTTGTCTTGGTGCTGGCTATTTACCAGTCCCACCTGGCTGAGGACCTGTGGACAGTCCCTGGTGCAACGGCAGACGACGGGACAATTCACTTGTTCTACGTGACAGCAGGAATCTCCCGTCCCGCCCTCCTGCGCCTTTTCCTCGCCATGGAGAAGGGCGCCCACTTGGCGTGCGGCTGCCCCCACCTGGTGTACGAGAAGGTGAAGGCCCTGCGGCTGGAGCCCATCTCTCCACAAGGCATGATCACTGTGGATGGGGAGATGGTGGAATACGGGCCTGTTCAGGCTCAAATCCAGCCAGGACTGGCCAGACTCATATATGGATGAACTTGGATTATCTTAATCCTTTTCTGGCTGTAGAGCTTTCTAGTCTGGCCTTTTATACTATAGATTTCTTTATGTGTGCTGTGTTTTCAGAAGTGCCAAAGACATTTGATCAGCCTCTGGAAATTCCTCTATTTTTCTACAGAAACAACTTGTCCTATTTTTATGGACCCCCGCCCGTCCCCTCTTTCTCTCAATGTTTGATTCAGGGTCAAAGCCATGGATGGTTGTTGTTGCTGCTGGCTGGTCCCAGCTTAGAGAAAAAAGGGAGGGATTGTGAGTGTGTGTGTGTGTGCATAAGATAGATCTTTATGTATGTTTGTGTGCACTCAAGTGTGTATATGTGTGAGATTGTGCATGAGGAGCTTTGGCACATAGCGGTGCGGTGCAGTGGCTGAGGAGTGCGTTGTGCACTCTGCTGTCTGACCTCATAAGCATGACACACGTGAAAAAGAAGCACATTTTCTCGTCCTGGGAGGCTCGTGAAGAAATCAGGCCCCTTGTCCCACTGTACTACACCGGGCCGGCAATCTCCTTCCTGGGCAACTCAGTTTGACAGCATCCCCCTCAGCCCGGTACAGAGGAGCTTTCTTACTGAGGAAATCCACCTGGGACTTGATGTTAAAACATTTTTAATCTTTGCATAGCTTATATAAAAAAAAAAACTCGAGCAATACCATCTAACGTATAAGCATCCGTACCCAGTGAATTTAACCCCCTTTTTTCCTTTCTATGTGTGAAAACTTCCTCCAGCTGATAATGCATGAACTGCTGGCAGAGCAGAGAGGAACTGGGCCTTGCTGAGGTTACACCTCCACTATAGGCCGATCCATTTCCTGTCCTGTCCGTTCTCTTACCCTGCTTCATCTGCAACCATCATCATCAACTGTAGGAACCGCCTCCACTCACACATAAATACACACTTTCTTTTCCCCATCCCCCCTCCTCCTATGCACACACAGTCAAACACACACATTCCCTTGCATCTCTGCAGCACTTAGTGAGGGGGAGGGGCATGGTCTGCTACTGTGCATATGATCCCCTCTCCTCTTGCCATCTTAAGATTGTACTCTCTCTCTCTCTCTCTCTCTCTCTCTCTCTCCCTCCCTCGGTTAATGAGCCATCAGCACCTAATGTGTCCTTAATATTGAGCTTTACATCTGCAAAAGAGAGTCCTTTTTTTTAATCATATGAAAGCTTTTAAGTGAGTTTCAGCGCTTCTTAGACTGGTTGAAGCTCACTAAAGTGGAGAGAGCAGGGTTTTACACTGGATCAGTCAGCGGTGCATATTGAGAGGCATGCGATCAATGTGAGCTGCAGGGAGTCAAGTGCTCTGCTCCGTTGTGTGGCCTTTTTTCGTTGGTTTGCTGGTGCTGTGGTGATGAGCATTAGTGCACCTGAGCAGAGGAGAGTGCAAATGTTTGCATTATCATCAGTAACCCCCTCCACACTCTCACACACACATACTTTATCTCTCTCTCACACACACACGCCAGTTTATTTCAGGTCACGATGACCGTACCAGAACTCACAGGTATGCAGCAGCTGAGTATCATCACCTACAGAGCGAGCTGTCTTTCCTGACCTGAAAAACAAATCTTCAATTATAAAAAAAAAAACAGAATGTCAGTGGCGTAAAGGAGATTATACTGTATGAATGCTGATGCATCTGTTAGAAACAAAACTATATCTTGTGCTGAAAGTGAAGACTGGAATGTTGACAGGCTAATGGGGTTCACAGAAATGCTGATATATAAACTTTTCAAGGTTTTGATGAATACATCACTGTCATGCTGAGTGCAATACAGTCAATGCAATGAGCTGATAGCTCACATTGTTTCCCTGCTGCTTATTCCAGAGCTTGTGAAAGAAAGAAAGTTTTTTTATTCCATTGAAGACAGCGTAAATATTAAAATTTCTTCACATAAAGCAAAGGAAAGGAAGGTCTTTTTATGGACTGTATAAAAAATATTGGGATGTGGAGGAGAGCTTAACTTTTTGTTTCACTTTATGAAAAAGTATGAATCTGCCAAGTATTATTAATATTTTGAGGATAAGCGATATGGCCAAAAAAGGAAATATAATATAATTTATTATTCATCTCCTGCTGCTTTTGTTTTTTAAGAAGACCTGAGCCTGATATCTGCAGATAGATTATAGGTAGTGTTAGCTAACAAGCAGGTAGAGACGGACTACAGGCGGTGATCATTTACTGTCACTTTAAGACTGAAATTAAATGATTTTCATGATTTAGACATTTTACACAACATGCAATTTGATATATCGCCCAGCCCCGCAGCTTATTTAACTGTACTTCTGCTGTGGGTTGGTATAAAATGAGACCCTCCCTGCAGAGATAATCTTTAGTCAGTCTCTGAAAACCGCCTGTAAAGATCCACATCATTCTGCTTCTCAAAACGGACAGAGGCCTATTAGCTACTTGATTGCGTGTAGGAAAATAAGATACAACACAATCCTTTTTTGTCCTGCACATTTGGCAAAGTAATATATATTTAATATTTTTAATTTTTACAATAAATCTCACCAGTGAAAAATTTAATAAAATATATATCAGGAATGAGAAACAATTAGAGAAAAAAATGCATGACCGTCCCATTTTCAGACCACCCCCTTGTATAGTTTTTGTACAGTCCTTTAATGAACTGTAATATACTTGAAGTTGACCTCTCCCATCTTCCATCTTCACTGCAGTGCCGATCTTTTTCCTATAACTTGATTTTACATTTTTACATATTACATTAACATTAACTGTGTATATGATGGTCATAGCTACAACTCATGTAAAACATACTGTACCTTTCTACCATTACTGTACCCTCAGTGAAGCTATCCAGGTGCTTTGAATGCATTATCATGTTATGCAGGCTGCACTCATGAAATTGCAGCTGCCCACATGCACTGCTCATTACTAAATGTATAAAGTACATCGCATAAGGGTAGAGATAAGCTATGCAAATGCCTCGTCATGGCTGCAGATATCTGGAGTGAGGGGTCCCTCTGCTGGACCCACTCATACAGAGGAGTGGTACTCGCTGAGCGACACAGAGAAGATTTCATCCTGATGTTGTACGATGCAATCCGTTCAACCTCTTTCCTTCTTCTTGTATTTACAACATTAAGCTCAGCTGCAGGAGACGATGCATTCTTCATACAAACCTGCATTATTGGAAGCCAACATCCAGCTTATTGTAATTTATCTTCAGAGAAATGTACTTGATACTTGCATAGAAACACAGCTGCAAATAGTAATCAACATCTCGGTGTAGGGCGTTGTTACACTACTGTTAACTTATGGTACTATACTGTTAACTTGTTTATTCCACTGGCTGCTCTAATGTAATAGCAGTTTTTTAAAACACGTGTGTTAATTCTTGTCAATACTGTCATGACATTTTATAAATGATTTAGGAAAGTTGTGTCACATAGTATGAACTAAAAATGAGACGGACCAGGTCTGGGAAGTCCAATGATGTTTCTATGATCCTCTAAGAACATTTGTGTCCTGCTATTGCATCCACACTTATGAAAAAGCCTGAAATAATAACGTGATTTACAGATAGGTGATGAATGTTTTAATCATTGTTTTGTTGTTTAATGTAAAACCGGCTTTTAGTGCAGTAGATCAGGGGATCCACGTGGAATGGTTGAATGTGTTATGCTGTTAGTTTGAAAAAATGATGTAACCGTTTTATAAATTGTGTGCCACGTATTTGCAGCTTTTCACTTTGAAATAAGTGCAAATAGGGAATAAAAAGTTTCTCCAGAAAGTGCCTTAGCAATTACCCAAGATAGCAGATACATACTGTAGGTGATGCACAGAAAAAAACGTAACAAATTTTTCCTCTACCACATGAAATTCTCACATTAAAGCATTGTGAAGGACGGTATGTCGGTACGCGTCAGTGTTACACTCTAGGCTCTGGTCTGTACAGGGTACCATACAAACACAAAGAGTATACACTGATGTTTTATTGTAGGCAAGAGTCTGTATGATCTGTGAAGCTTTCTGGACGAGGGGTTGACTGGGTTTTAACGTCCATATATGGTTGTTATTGCATTAATTGAACTGGCTGTCGACAACCAGGTATCCATCATATGCTTTTATTTTCTTGTAATGCTTTGTTTATAGACTTCTTTTTTTAAAGACCAATAAACATTCATATAGAGAACAATCCTCCTTTTTTTGTGCTTCTTTTTACTTGATTTAATAGGTATTGAAGATGATTTGGTCAGATTGATTATTAATGACATGCTCCAAATATATCTGAAGTTCCTCAAAGATAAAAAGTCACATAGTAGAGCACGCGCCCCATGAGTCCTTACCACAGTGGCCCAGGTTCTATTCCAATCTGGGGCTCTTTACTTCAGTGTCATCCCCCCTTCTATCTTTCCCACCTTTCCTGTCTGTCTTCACCTGTCCTATCAAATAAAGGCATAAAAAGCCCCCAAAATATCTTTAAAAATGTTTGAATACATACTGATTGGTGGAAAACAAATGTATTTGCAAAAGTGAATATAATAAATTACAAAGCCAACTCTGTTTGGAAACATAGTTTAATCTGGTGCCAGAACAATGTTAATGTAAAACCCTATTAATAAGACATTTTTTATTTGATTCCAAATATTTCAAATCTTGATCAGGTAAATAACTGCCTGATGGAGCTCAGAAATCAGGTCCACTTAATTCAAGGTTAGTGTAGCACTAGTGGGACCCACAGGTGTGATCAGAGTGCATCCTGCATACTGATGTCTTCCTCGAGGTGATGACGACATCACGTTGTGGTCACAGTAGCGCACTTCCCCTCTTCTTCCATCAGAGGGAGACAGAGGCTGTGTCTGAAATCACTAATTTATTGTGCCGACCCTGACAATTATATTTAAAGATACCCTCAATATATGTATTAAGAAATATAATATTATGCTTGGATAGTGTGTGTCTGATATGTTTATTTGCTTAAAAAAAAGTATAATTTTCACATTAAAATCCTTAACCTTCTACCTCATTTTAAAATCCAGCATTTATAAACATGCAAATGTTGTTCATTTCTAAAGTTTTCCTGCTGGACAAAAAATGTCTCCTACTTCACTGTAAAGTCCATCCTCAGTGTGTGTGCACTGCTGGCTCCTCTGAAGCAGTTTCAACAAAAACAGGCATGTTGTAATTGACTGCATTAGTTTTAGCTATGTCGCTTATAAACTGACAACTGAATATGCATTTCTGGTCAAAGAATCCATGAAACTTGATGGCCTGCAGATGGCAACATACTCTAATTAGTAACAGTTTAGGCAGAGTAAGGGTTTAATGTAGTGGCCCTGAGTTGTTAGAAAGGGTGCACAAGTGTTGTTCCACAGGAAACCACAGATCATTGTTGTGTGTCCTGTCTTTGTGTTGGCTGCGTCACCCTGTGCTCACTGTCACCGCCTCCTGACAGCCGCAAACATGAGTCACAATGAAGGTCACCTCTAAGCTGCTTATGTCTCAGTAAATACACAATAGAATACAGGCCAACCTTTAACACATTTAAACACAAGTTAAGTTGTCTCTTAACTTGATTCATATCTGCTTGCTGGCTTGTGGCTGCCGCCTCATTTTTAACCCGCCTGATGACAGTGGAATCGACTTAAACAATGAAATCCCGTTTCCTCAATAGAGAGGAGCTGGATAATTAGAGCACAGATCTGTCAGACGAGCTAATCTATCACAATGCAGGCTACTGTGCTGATGATCTGGCTCAAATTGTCTTCAGATGCAGCTCTCTGTGATTGAGAGGATGGAAATTCTCAGAATCATTCAACTCCAGTGGGCGAGGAGTTTCTGGAAAATGACTTTTAAAAGACAGAAAGCTCAGATCCTGATAAAATAATCAATGACCTTATGAGCCGCTGCAGATAGAGTGTTATTGTCATCTTGTGGTACGGAGCGGTGGAAACCTCTGTGAAAATGGTCGTCTCTTATAACCTCCATGTCAGTCATACTGTATTTATGCAAAAGAATCCATGTTGAGGATGTTTAGTTGAGCCCCATTCATTCACTGGGCAGAAACCATTTGGAACAGCTTGAAGAACCTGTGCAAGTCTTCTCCTGCAGCGGTTGAATACCTTGCTCAAGGGCTTGATAATAGTTGCAAAGGGAGGGGATTGACATTTACTTTCATCACCTGGATTTGGGTATGAAGCTGCAACCTCTTACGGGAGATCCACAGCGTGAACGCTGTACACCATACTGCAGAGGTTTTAGTGACATGTAGACTTATGACATACCTGAACACTTGCACACCAGCCCTCGTCTTCGTCGTGCAAACTAAATTCGTGTTCAGGTATACCAGATTCAGTTGTCTGCAGAGTGAAGCTAAATTAAATTGCTTCAGTGAAATTAATTGTGTTTCAGCTGGTGAATGAAGCACCTTACAGAGTCTCTCCCTCTGTCAGTGTCTTTAAATTTGTTTCCTCCCTTCTCTCTTCTTTTTCTTAACCTTTCTGACAGGATTAATTAAATGCCACTCCAACAATCAGCTGCATGCCAGAGGAGGGAGTGGGCCCGGGGAATGCTGTGTGTGTGTGTGAGAGAGAGAGAGAGAGAGAGAAAGAGACCTTAAGCTTTTTTTTGTTTCCAGGACCCTCCCTGCTGCTCTGCCTCAACAGATTCAAAACCAGGGTTCTATGGCGGTCTTTCTGGTTGGTCTGTCTGTCTCCGTGTCTCCCTGATTGGTTTCAGGGCAGCCTGTGGAGCTTGGATGCATCTGCTGTGAGACCGGGATTGAAATATCATTTTACAACATCACTCTCAATAAAACAACAACAAAGACAATCTCAAGGGCCTTTCAAAATGTGCCAGTTCGCCTTGAGCTCCCCATCCTCTAAAACCAGGTGTGGCCCACTCTACAAAGTGCCAGTGTGATGTTATTCAGCCCAGAGATGACGTGTAACTCACCCTGCAGCGCTGTTATAAAACACGAAGCCTGGACTTCCACAAAAACTTCTAAGATGTAATAAATCATGTTTCAATAATACATTTTGTTGCACAAATTTCTACTCTTTTCACTCTTTTCTTGACTTAGTTTTTCAAAGTTGCACGACTTTAAGCTTTTAAAACCTCATCGGACTGATATCAGACGCTAGCTTCAAACCAACACTTTTAAATTAACTTTCAAAATGGAAGTCATTTAGTCTGCTTCCTTTCTCATCAAAAACAAACAGAAGCACTCCAGTGAATCAATTTATTTTCCCGCTTAGCCAACAGCTGGTGCTATTTTTCCAGATGAAGAAGTAAACCAACATAATAAAGCAAACAATGCTGATTTATGGATTAAGTCCAGTATTTCATGTGAAAATGAACACGCTGTGGGGCTATTTTAGCAGCAAATCTAATGGAATTCCCATCAGCCTCAGTTGTACTTTGAGTTTAGTGCCAATTAGCAAATGTTAATTAGCATGCTAACACGCTAAACTAAGGGACTGTACAATTATTATTTCTATATTAATTTTTGCTGAAGGGAGTATAGTCTAACTTGAGAGCAGGAGGGGTCTTTTATTACTTTTATTACTCCTAAGTACTTGATTTTTGTGTGATTCTTTGTGTGTGTGATTTCTATGCACCAACGCACCAAGGCAAATTCCTTATATGCGTAAAAACTTACTTGGCAATAAACCCAATTCTGATTCTGATTCCATAGGTCTAATTAGTTCAACTTCCCCCTGCAAGATTTATTCAATCAAGTGTGAGTGTCAATCCCTCTCTGTATCAGGGTTACACATATTCCTCACCACCACAGACAAATAGGTAGTTAAAGTTCATTTTGAAAAACAGAATACACACAGGTCTTATTGGTTTTTAATAATGGAATGTCTTTTTTATCAGAATGTGTCTTTAACCCTGTGGCTCCTGTTTTCTGCTTGTTAAGATTTATTTCCTCCAACTTCAGTCACTGTATACAGCTGATTAACTCCCATAGACTATGAATGTAAGCTCTAATACTGTAAAAATAAATAAACTCAACAGTATTCTCTGTCTATCTTTGTCCCGAAACAGGTTTAATTCCGGTTTTAATAGCCTACTTCTATGCTATATCAAGGGTTTAATGGAATTATTCTCCTGTTGTAAAATAACAATACAACAAATGATCACGCATTACATGTGGCATTTAAAGCTAAACAACCAAAGCTGGTGCCAAACTCTGACCTTTAGAATGCGTTGAAACAAGCCTGTGCACCTGCCTGCCCTGTGAAAAATTTAAATCTAGACCTGCAGATCCAGACACATAATTCACCTGGGTGAGGTGCAGATCTCTGTGTTCCCTTTTTGTTAAACCAAACTAGTGCACTACTGCACATCCTGTGCAACATATGTATTCTTTCTCTAAGTCTATTTGACACCCTGTCAGCTGGTATTAGAAACTGTAGGGTCTCCAGAGTACTTGAGTATGTGAGAGAGTTGTTTTCCATGAAGTCTGTGCAGTCAGCATATGAAGCCACGCTGCTTTTGTGCTCGTTGCTACCCAAGGAAAGCAGACAAACTGCACCTACAGCCGGGTGATAAAACTATTGTACAGCGATAACAGCCCTGCAGCTCCTGCAAGCTGCCACCACAAATTTTAGTGTCTTGATTTTGCACGCTTTTATTGCTGCTTCAGTGGCCTCTCTGTTGTCCCACCTTTCCTCCCACCAGATCGCAACAACCACCAACCAGCTGCGACTGCACAGACACCCTGAAACTACCATTCTTATTTAAAATTCAAATCTGTTCTGTTACTGTGTACATGTAATCAGCATTTCCTCTGATTATTGCTCATTGCAAGCTGTCTGTAGGTGAATGCTTTTAAACTCGTGATTTTCTTGGTTTCAAGATCAAGACTACGAACAGTCATATTTTTGCATTAAGTAATGCATTTTCAACTTTTTCCACAATAGATTTCATCACCACTTTGTGAAAACATAGATAGTTTCAGTATGTCACCAACACCGCTGCTCCTCCAATTACATTGTCCATCATGTTGTTAAAGAAGCTTTATGGAGACAACAATCAGCTCCATAAAGTACTCCTTTCATTATCATATTTTTCACACACTAAATATGCATTGTAATATTACTGAACAGGTGGGAAGCGGTGAGGGATCATGTCCTAGTTGCACATGTCTGCTTACTTCATGCCCAGGTCAACAGTAGTTAGCTGAGACTGTGAAGGGAAAATGGCCAAAAAAACTAATCTATCTTGATATGAACTGCTTTGAACTACTGATAACAGAAAAAAGAGCAAACCTAGAAGATATATTCCAGTTGTATGGACTCCATGAAAGAGAGATGCATATATACAGTCCCTGCTCAGAAAAGTTACATTTTACTTTATTCTCATACTTCAGAAACCATAAGTTCCACTGTCTCCAACAGTCTCTAGCTGTTAAAAGAACCACAGCTTTTTCTTCCTCTTCTGTCACACGTATAATGCTTCTGTACTAAAGAGGAAGAAGTGAACATAACACTTAACATCTTCATCTTCCATCATTGACCAGTGTCACACACAAACTGAACAGAGTGTGTGTCCTTAATCAAGTCCAAACAGGCTAATAGGACACTTCATTACCCAGAGGACTAAGAGAGCATGAAAACACGCTAATTAAAGAATGACTCATGTCATGTGTCGGAAATTGTTGACATCAGATGATGTCTTGACTAAAGGCCCAGTCCACCTCCACCTTCCTCTCACACACACACAACTGTGCATCTTCAAGACAACCAATGTTTATATTTATGTGTGTGTGTCTGTGTATGTACATGAGCTGCTTAGCAGTTGAAGGACCAAAAGGGCTGTCCACAAAGCAAGAGACCCAAAAGAGGGCTGAGTCACTGCTTTTTTGTGTTGTGTGTGTGTGTGTGTGTGTGTGTGTGTGTGTGTGTGTGTGCGTGCTGTGTGTGCGTGTGCGTGAGCCCATTGTGTCATCCTTGTCTGTATTGCGACCCCTGAGGCTGAGTGGAAGTCTGACATTATCATTTATGATGAGCTTGGAGAGCTCAGCTGAATGGAGGATGTTAGGATGAGCCCCATGTGCCACTGTGCGTGTGTGTGTGTGTGTGTGTGTGTGTGTGTGTGTGTGTGTGTGTGTGTGCGTGTGTGTCCGCCTGGTAACCAAGTCTCTCATCTCCATATAAATGGCCAGAGGGAGAGGGGATGGTTTTTATTTAAATGTGAGTGTTTGACTGTGTATGGTTTGCTATTCTGGGATTGAGCCACTGCTATCATATAGTCCAATCATCCACAAAAACAAAACCAACATCACAAGACTTCAATGAAGAATGTGTGTGTGTGTGTGTGTGTGTGTGTGTGTGTGTGTGTGTGTGTGTGTGTGTGTGTGTGTGTGTGTTTCACTGATAAAGAGATTTACATGATGTTTGAGATGAGTGGTGAGGTAATAAAGCTTCACAGTGTGTTGCTGCTGAGTTCCGGTTATCGCTGCACTGCTCGCTGACTGAACACGTTTCACAGCGCAGGTTACCTGAGTCTGGCACACATTCACACTACAGATGGCTTTTTTCTTTTTTTTTGGTTGCTACTGTATGTCTGTCCCACCTAAATACCATCCAGGCTCCACCCTCTTGTTCTGATAACAAGACAAAAGATAACAGCAAGCAGAAAACACAAACTCCAGGAATGAAAACAGGTGATATGATGGATCTTATATCCGTCTTTTGTAACAATCAAGTCTTTGTAGCTGAAACTGGTATTAAAATGAGTCATAATAACTAAAGTCATTTTTAAAGCATCATTTTGTTTTCAGCTTTTTTAAACTGCGTTATACATTTGGAAATATTCCATCTTTCTCTTTCGTGTCAACAATCCCACGAAAAGACGAGGACATGTTTCTTCATTGTAGTTTATTTTGAGTCAGTCCCACATACACAGGCATTCTGCTACACTACACCAACAAATGTGTATTAATCCATGAATGAAAATAGTCCCCAACAAATGTTATATGTGTTCAGCTGTTTCAGGAAATTACTTTAGTCTTTAAGGAAAATCTTACTATATATTTGTTATACATTTTAAAAGATGTACCATACAACCTCAGTAGGAACCAACAGACTGACAGGGTAGATAAGTATTGTCAGATGCACTAATACACTGGTTCACTGGTAGTATGAGAGCTGCCTCTAGAGGTATGTGGAGTAATCTCTTAATTTTTAATCAAATAAATTAACTTAAAAAAACTATGAGATTGCTAAAATGTAACATAAAAAAGGTTTTGCGTTTCCTGTAATAATTTTGTTTCAGTATCAACCATGTATAATCATGAGCTATGCGATGGCAAGATAGTAAGCGGAGGTAATAGGAATGGTTGCCATTGTGATTCCAAACAGGAACTATTAGGAAGAGAAATGTGGACCAGGAGTACCTCTTTTCCACTAAATTAACTCTTGAACCGGCTCCATTCAGGATACAATAAAAAAAATTCAAAAGGTTGAAATGTAAACTTGTGAATAAGCCTGTCCGCACTGTGGATGCTTGAAGTCAACAGACTATTTTGCACATTTCATGTATCTCCATGTATATCTGTCTCTCCATACCTCCCGTCTCTCGCTTTATTCGCAGTTTCCTCATCGTTGCCTCTCAGTCACTTCAGATAGGAAGGAGGGAGTTTGTGTTTCTCTCTCGTTCTCCATCTCTCTGCTTTCTGCATCTCAATCACTGCTCTGCATCCTCCTGTGTGAGTGTGTGTGTGTGTGTGTGTGTGTGTGTGTGTGTGTGTGTGTGACTGTGTCTGACTCATTCTAAATCTGGATGTGTGACCCAGAAAACTATTCACAAAGCATATTTCATCTCATTTCTATATGAATTTTGTTTTGTTCCACTCTCTGTCACTAGGTAATGTCTAATGTGTAATGTCTTAGGAGCTAGACAAATATATATACAAATAAACATATTCATTTTCTTGCCAAGAGTTACAGGAGAAGATTGATACCACTCTCATGTCTGTATGACAAATATAAAGTGATGACAGACAGTTAGCTTAGCTTAGCACAAAGACTGGAAGCAGGGGGAAACAACTAGCCTTGGTCTGTCTAAAGGTAGATTTTTTAAATCTATACAAAAACCTGAAAAAAAAGGACAATTTGTTCATTTGTCTGGGGTTATTATGTGCTGGTGTATTTCTTGGCTCTGAGCTATTGCCTGGCAACATGCAGTAATTCCAGGAAGTCACTGTTTCCAGCCAAGAAATAGCCCAGCACGAAGCCATCCTGTAAAAAGGCAACTTTTCATTTAACACAAAAACAGGTTTTGTTTTGTTTGAACAAATGAGATGTAACATGTTGATCAGATAGTTTTACAGGTCCTAGGTTGTGGATCTTGTTACCTGTTTCCAGTCTTTGTGCTAAACTAAGCAAATCAGCAGTAGCATCATATTTAACAGCCAGACAGACAGACAGCCAGACAGACAGTGTGCTATTGATACTGTTGTCTCCATTAGAAAGTGAATAAGTGAATGTCCCAAAATGTTCAACTATTCCATTATCCAAATATGATTAACCTATGTAGCAGCATTTATAACAATGAGGTGATTCATTATTTTTTCTCTAACGTCTGTATTACACATGCACCATATTCTCAACAAATTACTTGTCTATTTTACCCAGAGAGGTTCTCATTCCCAGGGCGTCAAATACTGACATTTTGTCACGCCCCTCGGCATCTCTGTACAGATGCACAAGGGACCCTTTAGCGTGAGGCACAGTGGGCTGTCATGTAACGCCAATGTAACACATCCGTGTCAGCTGACAGTGTAAAAGAGCAAGAAAGTCCAATTAAGGAGGTGGCTGGGTTGGATAAGGCAGAACCTTCACCCAGGACAAGCTTTATGTCTCACAATGTTCCGTATGTGACTTGTTGCCATAGTAATGGCAACGTGACTTATGGTCATATAACATACTTATTTTAAACCAAATCATGATGTTTTCCTAAACCTAACCAAGTAGTTTTGTTGCTTAAATCCAACAAAACTGTGACCGATTCACAAATTCAACCACGTGTTAAAAAGGTGTCTCGTACAGACACTAAGGGGACGTTAGATAGCGACACTATTTGGGATGAGAACGTGTTGAAAATGATTAGTTCTCAATATCTGGAAATGCCCGCATCCAGGTGTTCTCACAGAGCTGACATCAGCATTAATTAGTAGTGTGAAGTTTAGTGTGTGTGTGTGTGCGTGTACAGCATGCGTGTTTGCACACCATCCTGCCCTGCAATAAAGAGATATCTCTTTCAATTTCTCTTCCTCTCCTTACCTAAACATGCAAATTCAGGTGAGTCAGTCAGGCGTTGGATGTATCACTTGTCTCTGCTGGCATGCCATCAGCTTTTACAGCACACAGAAACAAACTTTTAACAAACCAAGACTGTTAATTCACACATCAAAGCTACAAGTTCTTTTAATGTGAGAATAAACTATAAATCATCACAACTCAGCTGCAGATTTTCATGCAACTCGCACAACCTTACTTGTTTTTCAGGAGGAGCTTCTGTGCCTTGTGCTGAATATCGGATAACATCTGATAAAATCTGCTTTGGGCTCCTCTTGATTGTATTGTCTGACATGCATTATAACTCCTAACTACCTAACTGCAGAACTGCACCATGCTGTAAAACACTGAAGCTTCCCCAGAGGCAGCATGGGACTGTGCCTCACCTCCCTTTTTGGATGGAACTGAAGCGAGAAGAAACACAGTGAGATAAATCCGATGTTTAGTACATCTTCTCTTTTACTTGACAATGTCAAGTTGTAAGTATCTCAGCTGGCATGTGGAGCGGCCTTTCACAGCTCCAAAGGGTAGCCATCCATGATTCATAATCTATATTTTGTTTTAAAACATTTATTCCAGCCTAGTTTTCTCTGGGTGAAAATGTGAATACCTGCCTTCCAACCTCAAAACAAACTAAACACAAGAACTCACAGAGCCAAACAGTGATATGGGGATTCGCTGCAGTCAAATAAAGATGGTTTAGTAGTTAAGACACAGGCAAACATTCAGCAAGTGTACAGATTCCATGTCTGTCTCCATAACAAGATTACAGCTTTTCTCATTTGTAGCTTTGCGAAACAGTTGTTTTTTCTGTCTAACAATATTATGTGACCATCAGCCATGTCACTGATGTCAGTGATACCTTTATTTGTTCTCCACATTACCATTTTCCTTTAGATAAACTAACAGCGCCATCTTGTACACTGTTGTTATAATCCCCAGGACATCTGTATTTATCTTCAGAGTAACAAGCCTGTCCTGTGCGGTGTTTGTGCTCGTCTCTGCAGATAACATACGCTTTGTTTGGCCACAGTTGGTGTGACTTTGTCTTCCAGGCAAAAAAGCATTTTGAATGTAAATGGAATTTAGTGTAAACAAAGGATAAATCAATAACCTCGCGGCTTTAGTCTTTCAATGTACAGCACACAACGGAAGAATGCAAAATAACCAAAATGAAAGTCTGAGACATCAACAAAAAATAATATAACATTCCGCATCAACAGTTTCAGCATTCAGGCTTGAATCGTAAGCACTTTTTGAACGCACAGAAGAGGAAAAACTTGTCATATTATAATACAAACGTGTGACAAATGCACCCACTCAACTCATATAAACACAATATAAACAATTTAATTCATGTTCACCTGTCATGAGGTCAGCCATTTGAACATTTACTCATTTGTCCGCTCACAGAATGTAAAGTGGTGATAGAGAATAGTAAATCTCTGACACCATGTTGGAAGAGCCAGTCTGTGATCACACAAAATACAGTACAGTACAGACTGACACAAACATGTACTGATAGTACCTATTTTATACTATTTAACTCTACTACTGTGCATTTTGATGAATGAAGCCCACTCATACAGCATATTGGAAGCACAGATACCATATTACTGTAAGTCCCACATTTTAAATCATCCTGAACTCAAAGTAAAAACTGAGGTAATTCCCAGTGCTAAAATGTAAATAGGAAGTGGTTGAGAAGAAGAACCGTGTCTAGAAATGAGAATAAGAAAAAGAAAAAACACTTTACTCCAATCACACTTTGTTTGGTCAGTAATGAGCAACATGACGCACAGAAGTGCTTTCATATTCAAACTGCCATGTGGAAAACAAATCCTCCATCAGACGAATCAGGAGAAGGTCAACGCCACAAGTCATGGGTCAAGGTTCAGACATTCACTAAAACTGTCAGCAAGAAGTAACCTTAGGACGAAATGGTAGTGCAGAGGCAAATATTTGCCTTGTTAGCAGGACAGAGGCTGTGAAATGTGGCGTTTCCTTTACAGCACAAACACTGGGTCAAGATTTTATAAAGCTGTTTTCTTGGACTTTCAACCCTCTTCTTCAGCTTGATGTGCTACAGTAATGGTACCAGACTAGCCTGTGCTCTTACGTCCATGTACCGGAGAGCTGGTGCTGGTTCTCCTGCTCTGTACTGGCAGCTTATTCATCTTTTCCTTCAGGCCCTTAAGGCTGTATAGCCTGCTAAAAGAAACGGTAAAAGGAGCCCTTCCTTCTTCCTGGCAGCGCGCCTCCTGTGCTGATACCGTCTGGATCTGGGAGTGAGGATGGAGCTGTGACTGTACGTTAGGGTGTGTGTGGAGAAATGAGGCCTGGGGTTTTGGGTAAGGATGTTGATTCGGCGACTGTCCAGCTCTGCCCTGCACTGCAAGAGACTGTCGAGAGAGGAGGCTCTGCTGACTGTGCAAGACTTCAGCCTGCTTCTGCCCAGCTGCGGACCCAACAGCACCTGCTACCGCTGGAGGAGGTGGTCTAGCTGTTGGTCTGCAAGGAGATGAGCCGTTGTCCAACACCAGGAAACTACTGTGGAGTGCCTTGTTTTCTGCCTTGTTCAGCTGACGGCTTACCCAGGGATGAGGCCCAAAATGCTGGCTGGCTGAGAGAGGACAAAGGGGTCTGGATGGTTGGTCTCGTGGAGGTCTAGGAGGAGTCTGCAAAAGCTAGAGAGAAGAGAAGAGAATGGAGATTATGTATAATTTATGTATGTATGAATGTATGTGAGTTATTAATACATTTAACTACACATTACTAACAGCAGACACCAACTTCTCATATTGTATTCTGTTAGTGTGCTGGAAACTTTCATGCAATGCAGTGTAGCACGTTACAAAGTGACGCCCAGTCACATAAAAGCTTTGTTGCAAATGGAAAAGAAATGTACTTTGGAGCAAACCTGTGAAATCTGCTTTATTGTCACTCTTGTTAATATTACATGACAGAACAGAGTTAAGACATGCCAACAACACCTCCCTGGCTTGAATAGATGCGTTAGATGAAAAGCGTAGACTCGGGTCAACGGTGAGTGAGTTAAACCACGGCAATAAATGTGAAACGATCAATAATTTACCGATTCATCAATATTGCAGCCGGGGTGAGCACACACGGCGCTTCATTAAAAGTGTGTCACTTTAATTCACACGCAGTCTCCTTGTTCAATAATGAACAAGTGTCGTATGTTTAAAACTTAGAGACGCTCTGCTGGTGCGTACTCAACAGTCACACACACACACACACACACACAAGAAATAGTAAGGATAGATATAGATACATAGACAACATGCCGTTTTAAAACAGCCGAGCTGACTAAGCACCGACCGAGCTGTGATAATGACTCACACCTCAACACCTAAGTGATACTTCATGATACTTCAGCAGCTACATTTTTGCACAAGCTCCTTTCATTACGTACCAATCTACTGCCTACTATGAACTTGATGGACATGATGAAACACTAACAATAAAATAAAACATGAGTAAAACTTATTTCATGTGAACTGGACATAGTTAATTTTATCAAACAATAGCTAATTAGAAAACAGCATATAGAGCTCCGTTTTCAGTCTTTGAGCTAAGCTAAGCATTAAATAGCAATACTTAAATAGTATTAATTAGTAAATGTATCAAACATGTATGGGTGGTATCAATTTTCTCATCTAACTCTCAGCAAGAAAGCAAAAAAGCGAATGTCAAACTTCCCTTTAAAGCTTAATTCCTAATTTAAAAACTAATATGTCATTATTATACAATTTGGTATGGTGGAGTTTGTGATCGGAACTGCATTTTCTGCTATTCAGAAATTTTAAAATAAGAAACAACTGACAAAAGACTTGTCAGAACTAATTTAATTAAATAATACATGGATCTTAATTTTTGCTGCCAACAAGATAAAATATCTTGGCAAATGTTATACCTGATGCTCTGTTATTTTCTTTGCAAAATGTTATGGGTGGCCGTTTTTAAAATGCTGAATGCTGGAACTCACTCACACCTATAGGAGGGATAAAATATTCATTGCCTTCAGTTACACTACTTTCACTACTACTGTTTTACAGCATGTTCCCTCAAGAAGTGAACTGTGATCACCTTTTATGCCACTGCATGTTGTTCATACCTTCTGTCCCTCAGTCTCTTTGGTTAACTGGGGCCTATCTCCCTCAGTAGAAACCGTCTTTGGTTTAAGGTCCCCTGTGGACAATCGCTTTGGCTCTGCTCCCTCACTGGTTAGCTCTCCTGGAGTCACTCCTCCGTCGACCAGTCTCTCTGCTGCTGATTGGTTAAGCACCCTCTTCCTCTTGGGGTCTTGTGGTTGGGCCTCCTTGCTCGTTTCTACTGTCTCTGTCAAATCTTTACTTTGGTTAAAATGGTCTGCTGTTCTTTTTGCTTCCTCGCTGGCTTTCCTCTGTGTCCCCCGCAAATCTCCCTCTGTACTCCTCTCTGCCACACTCACTTTCCTCTCCTTTTCATCCACTTCTCTCCCATTTTCTTCATTTACGGTTTCTTCCTCCCCCCTTTTCAGTTTCTTCTCAATTAAAGAAGACGAAGAAGAGTCGCTAGGAGGCCCAGACAAACTCTGTGTTTCACTGCTAGAGGTATTCTGGTCTGTAGTGCCTAGTGTGTTATAATTTATGTATGCAGGACTAGTGGCAACGCTTGTAGCATTAGGAGTGTTTGTGTGTGTGAAGCTAACATGATCCTCTGTCGTCCCATGGTTGCTGTAGGCTGCTCGGTCAAACACAGGCTCGTGGAGAGGAGAGTCTCTGCATTCGTAATACTCCTCTGAGGTTGTGGAGAGAGCGGAGTCCGTTCTTGGTGAGACATACCCGTCGGGCGTGGGTGTCCGAAAGTCTGGAGTGTATGACCGTGGATCCGGTGTGTGCGTTTGTGAGTCTGGGGTGGGCATGCATGGAATAAATCCGTGTGGAGTTGGTGCGCATGCGAGAGCTGCGAGTAACCGCGATTCCGTCTCAGGCGTTGCCGAACGCAGGTCTGGCACGTGAGTGTCGGAGATATGTAAATGCAGGGGTTTTTCAGGTGTGTGTGTGTTTCCCCGTGCTTTAGGGATAAGTTCCTGAAGGGTGCTGTGTGTGTTATGTTTTGTAATATTTGGCATAGTGTCTGTGCAGTGTTCTGGTGTGAAACTCGGATAACCTTGCTGGCCAAGTGTGTCTACAACAGATGTGTGTGTGCTATCACCAGCACTGTCTTTAGACATGTGTGGGTTGTGTGTGGCAGAAACAGTGTGTGTTGGAACTTTTAAAGACTCCACAGCGTTTAATGCACCTATATTATGTGGAGAGGATTCACAATATGATATTCTCTGAAGTTCATGTGGGGTTGCGCGGTATGTTTTGCCTTGTGTTACATTCTTCCTGTTTTCATTTGGCACTTCAGGAAACTCGCAGTCTGCCGGGGCTCTTTCTGGGGCCTTGGTCCCTGCCTGTACTACGGCTACACAGTCTATCTGTGGGGTTAATTTGCAGTCTAACGATGTAAACGTCTTGGGCTCAACATCTTTCTGAATTATTTCTTGAATGTTCACACTCTCTGCCTTTGGTGCATCGGTAATCAAAACATCTGACTGGGCTTCTAGGTTGCTTCCAGTGACCAGCTGCATTCCTGCCTTGTCATCATGTAGTCCGACTGCTACCTCATTCTTTGTCTCTTGGGAAGTCCCACTCTGTTTTTGCCGCGGAGCTTCTCCAATATTCCCTGTGTTCTCTGCATCTTTTTGTGCTCCTGTTTTGCTCCCACTGTTGTTCTGCAGTTCTGGGACAGTCTCAGGTTTTTTTTCCGGCGACGTCTGGGCCACGGTTGCAACAGCAGGTACACTAGGGACCACTAGCGCGTCTGTGCTGGTCTCAGGCCTCCTGGCGACACTGAACTCCGGCAGCTTCTGGCCAACGCTGGTGACGCCGTCTTTGATAATCAGCTGGATAGTACGAGGTTTTGGGATGGGAGGAGCTGAGGTCAAGGATGAGGATTTGGAGGAAGAAGGGAGGGGAGGATTGGGAGCTGTAGAAGAAGAGGTAACAGGAGGAAAGGAAGAAGAAGAGCTGATGGAGGACAAAGAAGAACTGGCACTGGTAGTTGTGCTTGTAGTAATGGAGATCTGGTGATTTTCAGAAAGGGAGGTGAAACTGACGGGCTGAGAGCTCATGGCAGAGGTAGAGGAGGGTGACCCATGTGTATTGACAGTGGGAGTCTGGATGTTAGGGGTGATTTCAGAAGAGTTTTGTGGCTGTGTGTGAGCATCCTGTGTGTGTGAATCTGTATGTGGCAGCACCGTCTTTGTTTGCGTGTGTCCTCCTGTGTTTGAGTCAGTTGGACCACGCGGGTCCGAGGTTTGCGTGCTGTTCGACTCCAGGATGTGCGCCTTGTACCCAACAGCACATTGTGTGTTCAAACTAGTTTCTGCTTCTTTAGTTTTTGATCCAGGGAGGGAGTCGGGCTTAGGATTGTTTGTGGTGACACCTTGGGTGCTGTGTGAAGGGGTGCTTGTGTTAGGAGTTGATACTTTGCTACTGGATCTGGGAGGTGCATGTGCATTGAGGTGAGGTGTGGTGTTGTGGCTTGTCTCTTGGTTGGAGGGTGTATTTGATTGTAATTTATCCTTGGTGTTGAGAGTCTCAGTGATGTCTTTTTCAGATTCACACTCTGGTGCAGGTGAATTCTGCTTGGGTGCCTCTGCGTTACTTTTGATCTCATCAGGCTGTGCATTGAGTTGTGTCGGCTGAGCTCTGTCTACCACCGACTCTTCAGCCTCAGTTTTATCTTGTGCTGGTTTGAGTTTACTCATCTGCATCTGCTGCCTGGGCTTGGCCACCTCTGGCAGGGTTTCCTTAGGTCTATTGAATGGACTGCTAAACCTGATCGCTTGGCTGGTTCCAAACATCTCAGATCTCTGTAGATGGACCTGATTTGGTTTGTTGGAATCTCGAATGTTAATGAACCCAATGACATCACTGGAGGGGTCCGGCTCGGGCCAGGTGGGCAGGTATGACATCAAGCATGCTTTCTCTAGATCGATGAGTCCGGGGTGGATGGGAGGAGCCTCCTGTATGGCTTCTTTACTAGCCCTCCTCCGCCTCCCCTTCTTGGTATCTGGGACCTCTGGAGTTTTGCAGTTCTTTTGACTTTTGGTCTTGTTGGCATTGCTGTTTTCAGCAGAAGGGGCGGGGCTGGGGCTGGGGTTGCCTAAAGCCAGGGCGTATTTTGGATTGTACAGTTTCCTAGCAATAGCAGCAGAAGGCGGGGCCACTGCGGCAGGTTGTGGGAGGGGCTCCGGTTCAGGTTCAGGTTCCGTGGCGACCTGCCGGATGTCAACCGAGCTGGAGGTCCCGTAGAGGGTGCGAAACAGTCTGTCAAAGCCATCCACCGCCTGGCCTGTAACCACGGTGACGAGATTTCTCTCCAGCCGCGATGACGTCCAAGTGAAACTAGAGGAACCCACAGCAAAAACAAAGTTAGACTACTTTGGAGTACATGAAGACATTACAAGACAAACACCTCTTCACTGAAAATACGAGCAAAGTAAACAGCAATAAATGAACCAGGCAGACAACTGGGCAAACTATGTATAAAAAGGCTCCACAGCTCATCTGAAGTACAAAGCCACAAGTAAATGTATCATTATAGGGTACCTTAGAAACTGCACTGTACATGTGTTTATTTCTCTTTACATTGACACGTTTACAACCTGTTTGTCTAGAATGTAGAGAATGCTACTGAACATTAATAGACGCAGTGCATTCTTTATTCATATCTCTCCATGCTACACTCAGAGAAATAAAAACAGGTGGAGCACACAGAGATAATCTCTGTCTTTCAGTCTTTATCTCCTTCTCAAACTCTCACCGCCAAACACTCACACACACATATATAAAGTGCACTGACCTGTAAGACCCAGAAACAGCTTTGTCTCCATCAATGAACATGAATCTGTGTCCCATTCGCCCTCTGACCTTGGTGGAGGAACGGGTGTGAAACTCTACTCCTTCTATGCAGCGTACACGAAGGTGCTGTAACACACAAAGAGTACACAGCATACGGTTACCATATCTTCTCCAGATTCAGAGCTAACTTTATAATCTGTGACCTGAGTGATATGAGACTGCAAAACAATGACAGCAATTACTTCATCTTGTACTTTCATACTATATTTTAAGTCAAGAAGAAAAAGAGAAAATTAACTGAAAACTATGGTTCATAACATCTAATGTCAAAAATACAAAGATCAAAAGTTATTTTTATGATTTTATGAGACGACCTTATCTTCCTTTTTGAATATTTATTGGCTGATTGATGGTCAGGGTTTGTGTAAATAAAAAAGGCAGGGACCCAGACCTGTGTACAGTCTTACCAGCACCATCCTCTAACTCCTGTTATGTGATTAAATTCTTAAAGCATTCTTACAATAACTGTACAGTCTGTATAGTTAAGGTAGGGTACATGCACCTTAAGTCAAATTTATTGAACTATGATGACGTTCATGTGCACATCTTACCGCATAAAACACAACTAAACCAACTGTAGTCTTTAAGTAACCCACAACTGCTTATTTGACCTATGAGTACTTTTTAATAGAACCCCTATAACCATACATAGACAGGAGCAGTAATGTACCACTTGCCACCCTTAATCTAAGCAAATTGCTCCACTTTTTCAAAATGCTGGGCACTTACACATACTACATCCAGTTTGAGTACTTAAACCTTGCACAACCAACATCATGTTAATTGCCATGGATTCTTATTTAATCTCTGTCTTGCCTTCACTTGATCTGTGAAGTGTTGCTGATGCCGTGGATCGCAAATTATCTTGACCAACTTTGTTAGTCTTTGTTGGAACTTGATTGTTTTGCTCATCTGTTTGTATGTGTACTGTATAAATACTGCTGTATTAGAATTCCCTGAGATTAAAACCTGGTGTCCCGCAGCTGTCAGTGCCCTGTCCACTTAAGATGTTTGGAGTTTGGTCCAGCCAGAAAAGGTTGCTTTTTGAAAATCTTTGATAAAAGATAAGATAAAGATAAATAAAATAAACCTTGATGGCAACACAATCACACAGTTAAGAATTTAGTGTGTATGACAGCCACTTTGACAGGCCTATAGGCGTGACTGTGTGGTGTATTGTGTGCAGTAATATATATTCAGTGAGTGGCAGTGTTAAGATATAACTAACATTCATGATAATACATGGGTGGTACACTATTATGGCATTGTAGTCATAAAAGACTGAAATGTTTCAGATAAGATATTGCACATGAAAGGAACCTTGAGCTTAAGACTTCCTCTATCAAGTCTTTCTCTCAGTCTGACCTTTTCTTTAGGATTGACATGCATACCAATATCTGTACTTAATGAATCTCAAAAATGCAAGGTGGTTTGTGTAGCTAATAAATCAGTGGTATATAGCAGCCCTGTCAGGTCTAAAAAAATAGGCCTTAAATACGGGGTTACTGTTTCTTTGTTAGAAAAAAACAAAATTACTGTTTGGTCGTAGTTATCCACTGCTATCAAGGCAGTTCCTGGTCCCGTTGGTGATTAACTGAAAAACTTTGACATAACACACCCTTATTTTTTACTGTCTTTAAGTTGATCTCATTTGGGCAGGGGGCCTTTAGGTCTTCTGAAAGATACAACTCTGCGAGACACATCTGTCAGAGGGGCAAGGTCCTGATTTGTGATATAGCCAAACAATTATATAACCAGCTGTCCCGATGCAGCCGATTATTCCTGACGTGGCTTGCTTCACAGTAGAAACACCCTCCCTGCTGTGGTTCCACCCTTAACTTTCTCTGTTCCTCAGTGCATTCCTTTGGTTAACTGATTAGATAAAAAACGCTTTTCTCTGTGTGTGTATTCATCTCTGAACCATGGATGAGTGCTTAAGCTGTCCTAGAAACAATTTTATGAGAAAATACCTCCGAACAGGCTTTAATTTAAGTGTACTGTAGCTTCTACAGAGAATAACATCCCATGAATCACTCAGATACTGTGGATTTTTAATACTATTTGCTTTACAAAAGTACTCCACATAGGACAGGGTGAAGGCTCACTGTTTACAGAGTAACTAGTCCAAAAACCAACTCAGACAACTCAAGAGTAAGAAGAATCTGGCACTTCTTTGCAAACATACTCATCTGCTCCTCCTCCCATCTTGTCTATCCACTCCTCCACCTACCTACTCCCTCTTGTCACTTACAGTTACAAGCTCAAGATGTCACACCTGTTATCTACTCTTCCTACCTATCATTCTCTCCTTCAGTGGCCCTGGCTCGGCTTCCTGGCAGACTTTGAGATTTTTGCGTTGGCTGCTTGTCACTATTTCTGGTCATAACTGCAACTTTTAAAGCTGTACCCAAATGTTCTGGGATGGCACATAGTAACCACAGTGATTGAAAGATACAGGACCATTATAACATAAATGGCTGTACAGTTTTCTTTGGCAGAATTGTCTATATGTTATATGAGGAGAGTTTGGGTTAAAATAATGACTGTGATTTATTAACACATATTCATTCAGACTAATTTAAATGTAGGGCAACTTAAGGCTAAGTGTGCAGTGTGCAGCTGCATTACTCTAGGCAGGTTTGCACTCTGTACTTGGATTTGGAGTCAAAAACCATGACAGAGATATCCCTAGGAATGTAAATAAAAACGACAAAAGGTCAGATATTTAAAAGAGCAGGCAGTTACCATGAGAATAAAACAGGTAGAAAACAGCTATCCAGTCGAGGTGTAATCCCCGTCTGTGATTTCTCATGTGTAACTGTCATATGTTCATGTTTATAGAGCACAAACTGCCACATTGGAAATGTTTTGTTGTTTTGCTTATAATCCAGATACAGATGGCACTGGAAGTCTGTCAGGCTGTCACTGCCTTTGTGTTTCATTTTAGTTCTTCCAAGACTTAAACTGGCAGAGGGGGTGTGGTGTGTGAGTGTGTGTGTGCGCTCAATGATCTGTTTGTGTGTGTCTGTCAATATGTCTGTCCACACACCTACTCTATGTGTTTGTGTTTCTATTTAAGTCTCTAAACCGTTGTATACCTCACCAGTAAACATCACTTTGAACATAATTAGTTAAGCACATTCCACATTTGTGGAAATTATCCAACACTGCATCTATTATATGTATAGTTTCTAAATTACCTCCCTAGAGGAGGGAGGAACAACATGGCAGCAGTAAAGCAAGTCTGACTTCCACCCAGCATAAACTGCAATGTTAGTTGCTATTAAAGTCCAATCATCTACTGTTGAGACCTGAGATATTCGCATTGGCAGACTTGAGTGAAAACAATCATGGTTTGGTGGCTTGCCAGCTTGATCAAAAGATTTATGTCTCAAGAATACAGTGCACTGACAATACAGTAGTACTTTGCCTGTTGCTCACTTTTACGTGTCCCATCATGACCAAAATATGTTTTATAACCTGTGCTTTTCATGGTAACCAGCCAATCAGCCTATGGAGACAAAGCAAGGTAAAAGATTCCTCTATGATACAGTGCCAACTGGAAGAGTCCGCTGGTTATATGTGTGAGAGCGAGACAAAGAGAAAGCTAGAGATGGCATGTGCTTTCACTTATCCATGCATAACAAAAATCTCTTGACTTCAATTGTCTTTGTCTCAACAGCTCATTTGTACTCATTTGTACATGTGTCAATTTCAGAGTATTTTGTTCTTACACAACTGATGATGAACTTTCACTTTTTGTTAGCTTAATATTGTCGTTATGATTCTTATCATATTATTATCACCTATTTTTGCATTGGTGGAGCCTACAAATAGAGATATTGGTTGTCCAACAGTGTGGTCTAGAGCAAAATATCGGTACAGAGTGCCATGAAATTTAGGTACGCTCCCCAGAGGATGATGGTTTATGTTTTGCTCAGTACAACTAAGCCTTACGTTTTGATGTCAAACGTCAGACCACTATGACAAATGATATTTGCTCACCTTGAGGTGTCCTGCATGCATGTTGGCCCTCCGACACATGGACAGGAAATGAGGTAGCGATGTATGTTCCAACAGGATGTAGACAGAAACCTTCCTCTTGAAACCAGCATCTAGCAAATCTCTAAAGATGTCGACATCGGTGAAGACATCCATCACCACTGCTATTACCTGCAGACAAACACACACAACCTAAATCACACACAGGAAAAACTCTCGTACAAACACATGCATAGTTTACGCATGCTAATAAATACACTTGAGCTGCAACAATTAGTCAATTAATCAATTAGTTGTCAACTATTACATTAATTGCCAACTATTTTGGTAATGGATTAATTGTTCTGAGTCCAAATGTGAATATTTTATGGTTTATCTAGTCCTCTATGACAGTAAACTATATATCTTTGGATCACCTTGGCCTTTGTGTCACATACAGTGACACTTGAAGGCACCTACATTACTTTTCTGCCAAAACAAATAAGATTCAAGTTGATTTCAAAGGTTTGAGTCAAATATGATCACACAAGTCATTAAGGAAAGCTCAGCATGTTCTCCCGTATCTATATGACACATGCACCTTTATCACATGTTTCAAGCTCTTCAGAAAAATGCCCATGGGACGTTTTAGTCAAATAGGACAGTCCACTGCAAACAGCTGCTAAGAAATAAAACATAAATGTGTGGCTTCAGATAAGTCATATGCAGCATGAACAGATAACACCGTGGCTTTAATGCACATACTCATGCAAATGTGCTTTCAACTTGCTGGCACAGTTACAGTGTGCAGCACTTCTTTTCCCTGATGAAACACCTTTAATCAAGTTGCACTTTACTCTTGACTGTCTCTTTTGGTCAGCAGCTGTACTCTGACCTCATAGGGACTGAGAGCCACATGGCTGCTCACTGTAACAGTATGTCAACATTAGCCTACAGTTAATCTTTTGAAGGAGTACAGCAGGTCAGAGAAATAAGGGGCTGATAAATCGAGAAGCTTGTAAGATTTCAAACAGAGATGTATCTTTTATTAACAAGTATAAGGCAAAACACCCTCAACTGCTCACTTTATGTTTAATTGGAGGATATTTTATGGCTTTATATGCTTTATATGGCCTTATAAAGTGAACTTTATGTCTTAAACAGACTGAACACTTAAAAAAACATTAACACTTTAGTTTATAAATAGGTCCATTAGCGGCCCAACTTACCCTTTGCGCCTGCGCAATCATTTTTCGGACAATCTCTTTGATGTGCGTTTGACCATCCAGCGGGGGCTGCGAGTACATGGTAGTGCGGGTCACCCCCCGGTAAGCATCGCAGTCCGGCCAGCCCAGGTCCATGTGTGGGATGGACGTGTCCGACAGCTCGGGCCAGTAGGTAAGGGACAGCGGGGGCTCGTCGACCTCGGCATTCTCCGGGTAGAGCTCCGTTCCCGGGTCATAGGGCTCCACGGCGCCGGCGAGAGTTTCCAGCTCCAGGTCCGACAGGAAACCCCGCAGGCCGCGAGTCTCCAAGTACTTAAAAAACGCCTCGCGACCATCCTGGAGGAGAGCCTCCAGCGCGAGCCGCTGGTCTTCGCAGTACAGGAACTCCGGCTTGGACTCGTGCGTCCGCGGGTTCACGTGGTTGTCGTCCAGGCACTGTAGCTGAGACAGAGCCATGTCCGGAGCGCGAGACACCTCACCAGAAACTTTAAAAATAGAAAAGTTTCACGAGACAGTTGCTAAACCTCTCCAGACTTTGAGTAAAGAAAGCCGCTTAAGCGCGTTTTAATTCCTCCTTTGTGGTTTAAACAACTGAGCAGTTTGGCTCCGGACTTGTTACACATTACTTCATGTAGTCCCCTTCTTGGATCGGCCTTGTAATTCCTTTGAGCGGCCATAGTGCGCTAACACTCAGCCACTGTCATCATCCCCGTTACCGAATGAAGGGCTTGACCGGCCGCAGAGAGAGCGAGAGAGTGACTGAGTGACACCGCGGCAGAGGGAACCGCCCGACAGGTGTGACCCTGACAGGCACCCACCCACACACATAAACATGCACACCTTTATCACGTGACCTGTAGGGCTTTTAAACTGTGTGTGTGTGTGTGTGTGTGTGTGTGGACTGAGAAATGGATACCCGTGTTTTGAGTTTGACAAAAGAGGTGATTAAGGAGACCATCCCTCCACTTTCAAAGCCGCAGTAAACCATTAGCGTGCCAGTTCCCCATACAGATGAGGCATCACCTGAAAACCATCAGCAGATTACACACAACTGTGCGGTGCTGTTTTACCTGTTCGGTCATGTTTTGTAACGTTGCTGCCAGGATGGGAGAGCCCCAAACCGTGGTTTGTTTGTTTTTTTTGAGAAGCTCAAAATCAAGCACATAACTACTTTATAGAAAGGGAAAAAACAAGATGGAGGGATTAGGATGGGATTAATGGGATCTAAAAAACATTAACTGGGAGAAAAAGACCATAATACACTTTATAAACTATGCAAGGCATCACCACTGACCGTTGAACTCTAGCATTAGTTTGATCTCTTGTTGCAACCGGGAAACACTCACCGTGTCCCAGATTAGGCAAGAGCTTCTGCTAAATTCTTGATAATAAGAAGGCAATTAGAGTTTAATTTACGCAACGCAGCGCAAAGCGAAACACTGAAACAAGCCCTTACAAGGGCAGCAGTCAACAAGTCAAACACAAAGCCTGAAGGTTATAGAAACACATCTTAATATCTTCCCTGGAACTTTAAATTACTAAAACCACGGCACCTCTACTTGATTATCAATCACATGATGGAGCCCGGTTTGATCTTTGCAGCAGTGAGTGGTGTGATTACATGTCATTACTCTATAAAACAGCGGGAGGTGAAGAGGCTACAGCAGAGGCTGATGGGTGACATACTGTTACATAACTGTCGCGTACACACACACACACACATTATTCACTAACTGATCGATTACACAGAAGTGTTTGAGAGCACAATAATGGGATAAAAGTTTGCAGTGTCATGTTTCCAGTAAAGGGACGGGATGGGCTATCCCAGTTACAATCGAATAATTAAAATGTAAATCTCTATTTTGTGTGGAGGAACATCAAAGGACTTATCGCCTCTTATTCAGGTTGGCAAGAGGAACTCAGTAGAATTTACCATAACAGGTGTGGACTGGCTGACTTTAAAGATTCTCTGCAAAGGTTAGAAGAGTGTGTTCACGCTGACAGCGGCTCTGCATCAGAAATACACTCTCCTCCTTTCTATGGGACACTGCTTTGGCACAGCGGGGGTCCTGGCGCCTTTAGATATTTCCAACGCTCTGTCTGTCTGTCTGTCTGTCTGCTGATCATAGCAAATTACGGGTAAATCACTAGCTGACGCATCTACTGCCCATCTCATCCTCTGATTTATTGGCAGTAATTATCTGATAAACTATTTCTTGTTTCCAGGGTGTTTTACTGGATTGATTGTGGTGATTTCTCCCTTCACCGCAAGGGCCTAAAGAGCCAGAGGCTGTCAGTCAGTCAAACTGGTTCAACTGTTTTGTTGTATTTGTTTCTAATGCCTGCATGAGTACCATTGATGTCACAGCTCACACAACTCCCCCCCCCCCGCGCCGCTCACTCTTTTACCGTCACTCTCGTTCATAGTTGCTTCCTCACCCCGCCTGTCCATCTTTCATCAGCACTCCCTCTCTGTTTTTCTTTCTCACTGTTCCCCATTTTTCAAATTGTTTTTGTTCTCTCTCTCCTGTCTTGTTTTTTTGCTGCTATCTCATAACTCCACTTCACTTTCCTCCTGTTTGTCTCCGTCTCACTTTCTTCCTCTGTTATTTTTTTTTTTTTTTTATTTCGTCTTTGTGACAGCGCATCTGTGACATTTCGTTTTCTCATGTCGTCCCAGCTCTAGTGTATGACACAAATACGTCATAATAAATATGTTGGCCTGTGTCACACAGACACGGCTCTTTATCTGCTGCACACACACACTTCAAAGTGACTCAGCAGTATTAAAAAAGAATAGTAGAAGAAAACAGCAGTGCTATTTCTGGTACACCTTTAACTCCTCTCTTCTTCTCCCCTGCTGGATGCCAGTGGTTTATTGACTAACTGTCATTTGCGGGCCAGAGGTGAGTCTCTTCAGGAGGGATGAAATAAGTGGTTTGTTAAAAGAATAAGACGAGACAAAAGAGAAAACAGAAGTGCTTTGGTCCAGGGGATATGACCCCGTTTTCAGTTTAATTTCAAGCAGCATCCTGGTGAGAGAGGACGTGCTACATTCCCCACATAGCACCGGGCAACTGTCCTCCATAATGACATATATATATATATATATATATATATATATATAGTGTATAGTATAGTATAGTTAATTACAATATTATTAGAGAAATATTGAATGTAATATTCATAGGTGCATTTTCATTCATTCATTTCATTTCTGTTTTATCCAAAATGCAAAAACTATTATTGAAAATGGTAGTAGTTGAATTGACAATAGTTTTCAAGGATTTTAGCACCTGTTTGCAGAATTTAATGAATTTAAAAAGTCCAGCGTGTAACATTTAGGAGGATCTATTGGCAGAAATGGAATATAATATTTATAGGTATGTTGTCTTTCTTGTATAATCAGGTTTTTGGTTGTGGGGCAATTTCATAGGATGTAATGTGACCTTACCTTAATGCACAAGTTGTATGGCATTCATTCTATGCCATTAACCGGCATAAATATCATGGCAAATGTCATGAAATTGCAATTTACACATGAATTTAAGTGCCTGTTTATGCCTGCAGTGTATTTCTGTGACAAAATGAACAAAAATGTATTGCATTGCAGAAAATGTATCAACTTTACGTAAGAAATTAGGTTGAAACTAAAATATGATGGATACATTGTATAGTTGGCAGCTCACACATAATAACAACCCACCTTTGTTTCAATGTCATTAAGATATTTATTTATTATTTATTTCTGCATTTGGTCTATTACCTTTCAGTATAACAGAAATGTTAATGTTTTTGAACAATAATATCCAAGCTTCAAGTTCAAAGAGGTAAATGTATCTCTTTATTTAAATGATTTGTCATTACAGGTTAAGGAAGACCGGTCCAACTTCTTACTTTTAATCACATGAAATGTGCTTTTCTTAATCTGTTGCAACAGAAACAAAACCTTTTTACAATGTTTAATCTTACTTATAATATATGTATTTTAAGATTACACACAAATAAGAATAAATACATAGAAACAAACAAATGATCCATAAGTTGAGTTGAGCGTATTACATTTTAAGCTGCGTATTTCAAAACAAAGCGTCGTCTGGGCAGCATTCATCTCATTGGTCACTTTAACATAGTAACCTCCTTTGTTGGTTTACAGAGCACACACGCCAACAAACACCCCCAAACAATACACACATGCATTCACTTTAGCGCACAATAAACATACAGATACATATGTTCAGTCCCACCTTTTACACACAAACCCCTCTACACACTCACACACACACACACACACACACACACACACACACACACACACACACACACACACGCCAGCCCAGTAAGAGAGGGAGGAATCTGCTGTGTCAGTGTCCTCAGAGTGCCTGGTCCCAAATATTCACACCACAATGACTCTCTGTGTCTCTCTGTCCAGCTTACTGGATCTCCTCATGGGAACAGCGGGAAAACACTGGAGCAAATCCTGATTCATCTGCAGCGGAGAAAACCTCTCCCTTCCTCCACAACCTCCCAGGGGCCACACACACACTGGGGTTTTTCTTGTCATAAGGTTAGTGTGAGTGTGTGTGTTGCATTTATTCAGCCTGCACCAGTGCTGATAAGCTGTAAATGATTATGTCTGCGAGTTTGTGTGTGTGTGTATGTATGTGAGTTCTCCACAGTGTCTAGGTCCATATCTTAATTTATTATTTTTACATGATTAAAGAGAAGTGGAGTTGTGGGATCAGGTGGAAGCAATTGATGAGCTTGTAGCAGCTGATTGGACGAGGATTGTGACTGACAGGTGGCATCATGTGGGAAGTGGGAGGAGTCAGTAACATAATGAGCAGTTCTGTTGCAGCTCTTCAGTTGTCTGCTCCAAACATGAATGGTCAAGTGCAGAGCAGAGGAGCAGCGTGAGGGGCGGGGTCAAGACAGCTCAATGATGAACCTGTGGGAATTGATGTGTACTTGACTGAGGTGTCAGGTCATTGGCAGTGGTAAATGGGCTGGACGTACTCCGGAGGGAAATAGCCCACGTGTCCATGGCAACGGCCCCTCCAGCGCAGCGAATCGGAGCAGTCAATGAGTTCGATGACATCACCGCGCAGGAAGCGTAGCTGGGAGGGGTGGTGTGGGGGTGAAGTCGAAGAGAGCGTGGGCATGATGGGGACGCTGGGGGGGGTAAGAAGAAAAAGAGGGAGAGGGGGATGGAAGAGGAGGAGCAAAAGAAGAGAGAGTTAATAAAAAGTTGGCTTCCATGCAGTCTATGTCTAAACAACAAAACTGAGCCAAACTCTTTCTTTACTTGAAGACAAACACCACTTACACTACTTCAGGGAACATACTTCTTTCCTTCACAATAAGATAACATGCTTCAACAACTCCAAATTATGCAGTAAAGGCTTAAGACGGAGCCCAAACACAACTTAAGCGTTCTTATCGCTTTCTCTCATTAAAGTCACTCTCTTATAGTAATTAGACATGTAAATTTCCATGTACACACGTAGATTATTAAGCATAAATACATTCCATACAATTACACGTGGGTGGCAATTGCCAACAGTTTCAAAAAGACCAGAAAACACATCAGGCCAGATGTGTCAGACTCAGAACACAGTCTAAAGAAGATTGATGCCCCCGTCTGTATGCTAAATATGTAGCTACAGCTTGCAGCTGCTTAGTTAAGCTTATTATTATTTTAAATAGATCTCTGTAATTGTAAATAGCTCTCTGTCCACACGTTGTGTTCCCTCCTACCTCAAGCACGCCGCAGTGCACCCACTTCTAAGAAACCGAGTCTTGATCCTATCAGTTTTAATAATTTTAGACCCATTTCTAAATTACCATTTTTAAACATTTTTAGAGAGGACTGTCTATTTACAACTGACTTCTTTTATGAATGCTAATGAAATCTTTGACAAGTTTCAATCAGGTTTCCAGGCTTGTCGTAGCACCAAATGTGCTCTTATCAAAGTAACAAATTACTTTTTACTTCCAGCTGAGGCTGGCAAGTGCTCAGTTTTAATTCTATTGGATTTAAGTGTTGCATTTGACACTGTGGATCACTCTAAACTTTTAGATCAACCAGAAAAGTGGGTCAGCATCAAGGACACTGCCTGAAAATGTTTTTAATCATATTTATCTAGAAGGACTTTCTCAGTGGTCATGGATGATGCCCATCCCCTTTGACCTGTGGTGCTCCCCAAGGGTTCATCCATGGCCCTTTATTGTTCTCTATATAAATGCTGCCACTAGGACACATCACAAACAAGCACAATATTCAGTGCCAATGTTATGCAGATGACACACCTATAAAGCACTTCACGGTTTAGCTCCCACCTTCCTAACTCAGATCAGGGCAGGATTACACAATTTAAACTAAACTTATTAAAGTCCCTCTCTCTATTGAAGGACTGTGCTTCCTATTTTCCCCCATTGAATGAATTGAAATATTCATGGTGGTCAAAATGGTTTGTTTTTCTCAGCTCAGCAACAACAGCCATGATATAGTAGGTGACTTTTTTAAATTGGGTACTAGACTGGTTAGTTCTGCTGTGTTGAAACAAAACAAAACAGCATGCACAGAATAATAATTCCCAGGAGCCACAGAGAACAGGCCTTGTATTCAGGTTAAAGGAACAGCTCCATTTAATAAACAATGTAGTCTTCATTCCTTTAAAGTGCAAATATATTTTATTAATCCTTTTCATTCAACATTTATTTAGCCAGATCTGCCATGGTCTGTCAGTCCATTCATGTTAATATCATAAGAAAGGTTTGACCAAGACAGCGGCACACAAACAGAAGAAGAATATAGACATGAAAGTAAATATTCAATGATGACTGATGATATTTTCTACTGGTTGATTGTACTTATAAACATAAAGATTGGGGAACCAGTCAGTGCAAGCTGCCAGCTGAACACTAGAAAAGACTGACATGAGCAGGTGACAGCTGGATTATATATAGTTCTTATATAAGATGATGGGTTTCATGCAGATGAGAGAGATTGCATGTTCTGATGTATTATTTAAAGACTCTTTTAACATGGAAAAGCAGCAAAGAAAGCATGTTTAGAAACATTACTCGTCATCTATCGCACTCAGGAATAGTTTAGGTAGATGAATAGATTTCAATCTATCTTCTCATATAACTCTTGGCAAGAAAGTGAATAAGAGCGTTTCCCAAAATTTCAAACTATTCCTTCAGAAAAATAACATGTCTCTGGGGGTTTCAGGGACATGATGATGATGATAATATCTAAACGTTTGATTGACCAAATCACAAAGAGAAACCTGATACAGTAGAGTTTGAACATGTGACATACTGACACACAGACAGGTACTAACAGGCAGACAGCGTTAGTGAGGTGAACAGGTTGGCAGACAGACTGGACAAACAGGTAGACAGATAAAGAAAGTGACAGCCAGTTCACATTTACATATGACACCACAGTTGGCATTTGGACATGTCTACTCCCACTAATAACATGGAACTATGTGACGGCAATAAACTGCCGCAGTTATATTTATATTCAACACCCTGAGACATAAGACACCATTTCTTTAACTGTTATTTCACATGTGTCTGTGTATTTTGTTTAAATAGACTAATCAAGTGGAGGTATTTTAGATTGCTGCTGCACGTTATGGTTTAGGCTGGTAAAGAGGGGGTTTATTTTTCATAAAAATCTCCTCATTAATCTTTATGAAAGATAAAAAAATCTAACTTGTGGGGCAGAGCAACTTTAAGCAGAATAAATGACAAGACTCATTTGTGGAGACCATGAGAGCAAAAGAGAAATAGAGTAAGACACAGAGAGGGACAAGTGGACAGAGGGAGAGAGGCATTATAAGACCTTGATGATGTGTGTGAGGGTGAGATAAGAGTACACACCTATAGGCGTACACAGATCTATATAGAGCCACTTATATTTGTACATGTACACACACACTCTTAGTAAAAACAACCGCTCTGTTAAATTGTGATGTTTGATTATGCAAGGTGAGCTGCTTTTAATTCAATCTGCAGATTCTTCGTCTCACTCATATTTTTCTTTGAGTTCACAAAAGCAGTTTTTTTTCCTCTCCTGATACCCGGCCTCCTCTGATCTCTGTTGACTTGTGAAATAAAAGCAGTTTAAGAGCGGCAGAATAAAAGCAGCTATTTTAAGAGTGTCTTGAACTTAACTATACTCCTAGCTGTCACTTGCACTCCCACAGAGAAAAGTGGATATGATATGAATTGGGAGGGGGCTAGAGAGACTGGAAGGAATACCGATATTGTATTTTTTACGTGTGAATGTGTGTGTAGGTCTGCAGCATCTTCAGTTATTGCTGTAGACTGTTCTGTCTTGGCCCTGATATAATGGCATACAGTTGGGGCAGGTACACACACAAACACGTACTAACCAGACAGCAGGATTAGGATCAAGAGGCACAGACACAATCTATCAATCCCACAAATCTATAAAATCCTCACAGACTTATCCTTTATTGTTTGGCTGATCTAGTCTAGACTTCATGCACACATGCATGCACGTACACTCTGCAGCTGTGTATGTGGGTGTTAGCGAGCATGTGTGCACAGGCCTCTTTTTGCTCGGGTTGTCTGTGAGCTTGCATGTGCAATCCTGCGTCTTTTGTGTGTATATATGCTTGTTTGTGTGACAGCACATGGAAAAGCCATTCATTTTTTTCCCAATGCCAGCTTGTGAGGAGCAACGGTTTGGGAAGGAGAAATATGGTACGTCCGTATCAGCTGCGCTCGGCTGCCTTGTGATCATCATCCTCTCCAGCGCCTGCTCCGACCCAGAGCCAGCGCTGACAGTGGAACAAATTACTCTGTAACATCAATGGACTACAGCTTTATACTAGATTTAGCTCTGCACACAAACACACACACACACACACACACACACACACACACACACACACACACACACACACACACACACACAGACGGGGCATTTAAGGCAAAAAAAAAAGCCTCTGACACTTCCTCTGTTTCCATTTGAAAATGACAAGGTGTCAGAAAGAGGTCAAAGTTTTGCACGAAGAGGCTTTTTGTTTGAAGAGAAAGCTTCTAGACACGAGGACATTAGGGATATGTTGGGGAACAGAAATGGAAAAAAAATTGAATTATTTCCCATCCTGCCATGGTGAGATAAGAAGTGATCTAGAGCCATGTAATGAGCTGATGTGGAATTAGTTTGGAAACCGCATAATAGGCAGGACAACACAAAAAGCACGAGAACGAACAAGATACGTGGATTAAGCCAGTCCTCGACAGTCTTACTTTATGTCTGTGACCCATATAGTCAAAAAGATTGAAAATTGTGATCATGCGACAGTGAGGAAGATAATTAAAAAACAGTCGAACAGTGAGCAATCAGCTTAAGGCATTATTTCCATGAAACATTTAGAGTACATGGGGTGAAGTTAACATGATTTCTCTATAACCCTGTTTCCATGCATTCATTTAACAATCTAAAGGTCCAAAGGGAGCTATGCAACAACTATTTGTTCCTTGTGTTTTTGTGCTTTTAGTGTCACTGCCTTCTGTGAAAGCAGAAGATGAAACGGTGTGCTGATAACTGAAGAAGTCTAATATTTTAGATACACATGGATTATGCAAAACTCGGTTAAAAAGATACACTGGGGAGTATTATGTACAAGGCAAGAACACTAAGTTGTCTTGTTATCTCTGATATCATCATTTCTGTAAGTGAAATCTTAATGGAGAACAGACTGTGTTGGAGGGTTTCAGTGTTTTTTTGTTCTTTTGTTTTGACTGGTTCCTTTTGTGGAGTGTGTTTCTGATGGATGTTTGAAAGGAGCAGCATTTCTCCACAATTGAGTTGGTTGGCAAACCCATTTGTTGGTAATTTAAGGTAAGTACTAGTGCGTGTAATTGGTGAGAATGGCCATGTCTCAGTTGGTAATGCATCCCAAGTGGTTGATCTTAACTGCAGACCCAACCAGTTTCTTGGTTTCACTTTAGTATGAGTGAGGACAGTGTCTCAGGAGCATTTCCCTTGTTGCCAGAGCGTCACCAAATCTGTGCATGCTTACCCATCACCAGTATCTGTCCAAAGACTTTTGCTTCTAGTTAGTCAGCAAGTGTACTGGAGGGGAGGGGAGCTTGGGCTCTGTTGTGGCTACCTTTGATTT